CGATACGCACACTTGTCTGTCGTATGCAGCGTGTGCGTTGTGCGTCCGAGTCGGATGCGCGAGTGCTGCTGCTGCTGCTGCTGCTGCCGGTGGAAGAGTGCGTATGCAGGCAACACCGGCTCTGCAACAAAACCGTTTCTTGGATGAAAGGGGATTTGTTGGGGCGGTTTCGCAGAGCGGAAACAACAAACGTGCCAACAACCTTGTTTTGTTCGTGTGAGGTCAGGAAAGGTCAGAGAGAGAGGGGGGGAGAGAGAGAGAAAGAGAGAGAGAGAGAGAGACTCAGCTCGGATTTGAACGAGACTCGCTGGCAGGAACGGACCCATGTTCCCTGACCCCGCCCTTCGGCCCTCTAACCAGCGGGATGGGATGACAATCTGCTGGATGCTATGTTTGGATCGACACGGAAGACGGGCTGGTGTTGGAAGTACGGTAGGAAGGAAAGTAATGGATGAGGAAGAGAAGGGTGTTCGTCGTGCCACCCGCATCATCCGAGCTATCCCGCCCAACTCTGTTCGTTTCAAGATCCAGATGGATGGCGCAGCCCATGACGAGGCCCTCTCCTCTTTGGTCCCCTATTTGTGGCCGCTGCTGCTCGCCGTCATAACAGGTCCAGGGACGATGCTTGGCGTCCGTGTAGCCCAGCCTGTCCCAAACCATTTATGCTTCACGAGATGAGAGGAAAGAAGGTTTCGGAGGGGGGTCAAGTGATGCAGATCAGTGGGGACTGACGGCAAAACAACCAGAGGGAGGCTTGGGGGTTTTCAGCCCAATATGGGCGGACGGCTAGGTATCGCTGTCGAGAAGAGGGGGGGGAGGGGTGAACAGAAGGAAAGCCGAGCTGGACCAAGATAGAAGTATATATCTGGACAGCTAAGGTACGTACTCATCCGGACTTCATGCAATCGGTGATTCCGATATCATACACACACACACACACACACACCCAAGCACACTTCGTACTTGATTGACCTTTGATCCAAAATAGACTGTCCAAGCTGGAAACCTGAAGTTTCCGCGGGGAAACCATGGCCGTGTTTTATCCCATATTCCGGCTGCAGCCATCTCACAAGACTCCAGCTTATCAACGGGTTTGATCGACCGTATGTCCATGTATGAACGTTTGTCCTGAAGCAACATTCGCGTCTGCGTTTGCATCGGCGACTGCGACTGCGACTGGAGCCTGGACGATCAAAGCCCTGCCAGAGTGTGTCAACCATAAGTCACGATGACATGTTAACCTCGTCGAGGGGATTTTAGAATGCCGGAAAAAAAAAAAGGCTGAGAAACAAGGCAAGCAAACACGCCGCGGGTAATAGCAAGTGTCAAAACACCACGCACGCTTGGACAAACTTGTTTCTCTCCATCATCGTCGTATGAATCACCCTCGTTGACAATGAGAACACACAAACACACAACACACTCACTCGGCACCGAGGACGTGACATCACCGCATCCAGGACAAATTTCTCTCAAAAACTGTGACTTCTCAATTCGCCGTTTTGAACTAGAAATAGGGAGGAAAACAGAAAAAGCAAAAGCGATCGTCATCTGCGTGAAATACCACTCTTTGACCCGGAGGGCCAACTTTCTATTGTACAAATAAACCTGCCAAAACACATCTGGTAGAAACAATGCATGTTGGCGCGAGGCTGTGTGGTTCGTGTCATCACTTCATTCCCGCAACGGGTTGAAAAGATATCCCCAACAAGATGGAAGATATGTGAAATCTCATCCACACTGCTCGTTGAGCCTGACCACCCCGTTTCAGGAATGCGGTTCTCGGTTCCATCACATGAGCCTCCTCGATCACTAGGGTGTGCCCAGCTGACTCAAAGCAAACAAAATTGGAAATTGGAAAGGGAAAAAAACGAAAAGAAAAAAAAAAAAAACCAGAAAAAGAAACCAGAAAAACAAAAGGGGGGGGCCCTTCCTCCAAAGCCCCCAGGCAACCGTTCCCCCCTGCGCCGGATATCGCTCGCAACTGTATTTGCAGTTTTCCTCCATTTTGTTTGATCGTGTACGATCTAGAAAATTGTGTGCCATCCAAAGTCCAAGACAAATAAAGCGACTCGCGTGAGAGAATCCCATAGAAGCAAAGAACAAGGCTGTCCGGCTTCATGCTGTAGTCTTGTTTCGCTGCCGTTCAAGGATAGCATACACCCCCCCAAGTAAGGTCAGACGCAAAAAGGTGAAGTAATACACTGGTAGAAGTAATTAAGGTGCGGGACAGGGTCAAAAGCTCGAGTTGGCTCAGGCTCCGACGCGCTGTTCCTCCATGCGTCTCACCAACTCGCGCTCGCGGGGGGAGCGTGGGTTGGCGTCAATGCCTAGAATAGCAGAGATACGGGTCTTGTCTTGGGGCTTGTCGTAGCTATCACGATCCAGGTTGTCAGGGCTGGAAGTGGGGGTGATGGGCGTGCTGGCCTGGTTCTGGCCGCAGCACGCGCCGGTTTTCCATGCCTGCTCCAGGACGACAGGGCTGGCACCCGAGCCGTAGTCGTTGGCAATGGCAGCCCAGAACGAAGCGCGGTGAGCGGTGTAGACGGACTGCAGGCGGTTCATGTCGACATGTTGGTGGCTGACGGGGGGCTGAGCAGGGGGGAGAGCACACTCAAGACGCAGCGGCGGCGTCATGGGGAGGCTGCTAGACATAGGCTGGAAGGAAGGAGGGGGGAGAGCGGCGCTGTGAGGCTCGGGGAGAGGGGTGGGGTATCCTCTGTTGGGAGAGGACGTGCGGGGCGGCATGGTCATGCAGACCGGCTTGGGGAGAATGGCTGGAAGCCGAGGGGAAGCACCGTTGCCCATGATGCTGGGGAGTTGCATAGGAGCGGGAGAGACGGGGGCGTAGCTCGTCGCGCGGCCGGGAGGAGACACAGAGCGAGGCGTCGGCTCTCGGATCGGAGAAGGCATGGTCGGCTGCATGACAGGGGAGTGGTTCGCAGAGGAACCAGAAGAGACCGAAGTCGTGCGCTGCTTGCGTCGGTTGCTGCCATGGCTAAGCTGGTGGTAGTGAAGGCGGCATGCCAGCTCAGTCTTCTTCAAGTGAGCGGCAATGTGCTTGTAGGGCATCTTTTGAAGACGGGTCTGGAGAAGATAGACTTCCTGTTCAGGGGTTAGAGGGATTGATTCTAAGCGCGTGGGTCGGAGCCACGGGTTGTGGTGAAACATACCTCATCCTCGCTCCATGCTCTACCGCCGCCGGTCGAAGCCGCCTTGCGGTTCTTGGTGACACCATACTCGTGACGATCCATGGCGTCGGAAGTGGGAGTGTATGTGGCCGTGTGGGGCGCCAATTGCATCGTGGGAGACATTTTTTTCCTTCGCGAATTCGTTTCCGAACAGTCGATGTCGATGGGTTGGTAGCTCTGAGGGTAAAGTAGACTTTTTTTCTTCTTTGGTCTACTGGCGTAGAGTTCCCTCGGGTGGGCGGCTTTGGCGTAATCCTGGAAGCTGGGTTTGGATATCAGAGAAGACAGAAGCCTGCTGCCGACGAATCGAAAGTTATAAATCGGTTGTGAATAAGGAGGAATTCCGTCCGGGAGCTCGCAACAACGAAGTCGGCTTTCTGCAGATCCGTCAAGGAGAGGAAACGGATAGGCGTTGTTTGAGCGGAGGGGAATGGTCCGAAAGAAGCGAAGTTGTTCGTTTGAATAAACCGAATAGGCCAAGTGTATTGACAAAAAAGGTGGTGTTCAAGAAGCGTAGTCAAATGAATGTGTGCAGCCAATCCAGTTGGACAATGAAGGAACGCGAAACCCTAGCTGCGGGACAAGAAAAGAAGGACACGCAACTGCGCTTCAAGAAGAGGAAGAAAAGGGATGTTGATGATGAACCCAAGAAAGTAGTGAAGGTAAACAGAGGAATGGAAAGTCGAGATGGGGAGGGGAGAGGGCCGAGATAAAGTAATAATGTCAGCTGCAGCCATATTGGGGTCTCTGACAAGTGGTGGGCCGTGACATGACAAGACAAGCAAGGCCTGCCAGCATTAGACCGTCCCTGGACGGGTACCACCCACTCACACACGCACACCATGAAAAGAAGAGCGGGTAGGCAGGCATAGCAAACATTGCCTCATCATGTTCGGGCGCTGGTACATGCAAGACAAGGGTCTAGCACACCGTCAAGTCCAGCCCTGTTGCAGATATTCAGCAATGATGCCAGCAAACCCTGGAGAAGATGGGGTGGATGTGACAGAATTAGCAGAGCATAACGTTTGGTCTGATCCGCCGCCGCCTGCTGCCATCCCCATTTTTCAAAGGGAAGGGAAGAGACAAGGGAGGGAGTGAGGGGAGGGGGGCAAAAAAAAAAAAAGCGAATAGGACACGCCCATGACGGCTTGCAGTAGTGTAGGTAGTATGTATACATACTATGTATATGTACACTACAAGCCACACACCCTGTCCCGGCCGCACCCCTGTACCCAACTTGTTCGAGGGCAGGCCCAAAAAGAGGAGACGGACGAGGAACATGCATGGGTGCGAGATTATGGATCCGGTGAGAGATGAACGTGCGTCTCAACCGGCCGCCATGATGGATTGAAAAGTGAGCAGCCACTTGTGTCAACCAAGAGGCCAGCCAAAGCGAAATGGAAACCCGCCGGCAACGAGCTGGAGCCTCGGAGGCTGGCTGGGGTGTACACCAGGTTTGGGGAAGCATAGACCAGGCCAAGGGCTCGAGAGGGATGGGGCCGTTGAAGAGTAAAACGGAAACCGAGGGATGAAAACGAGGAGGCTCTTGTAAACCTGGAACGCGGGAGGAGAAAAAAGCCACCAAACCCGCGTGAAGTAACGTCCGGTTACCGGAAAGAGCGGTGTTACGCCTCCAGTTTGTTTCTTGGCTTTCTTCGTCGAGGGAGAGGGCCCGGTCTGAGCCAGGCTGGGCTCTATTCAGATTCAGAGGCTCAAGTGCCTAGGAAGCAAAGTTGCACTCGCAAGCATGTCGACGGCCTGCCAGCCGGTTGGGAATTTTAATTTTTTTAATTTTTTAAATTTTTTTTTTGGTTTCGGCCACGGCACATGGCCAGTGGGTCTGGTTCATCATGACTGGTGAAGAGGAGCCTCCATTCCTTCTTCTGAGGTAGCGTGGCGCGCCGCATAGAATATAGGGAGGGGCATGGCATAGGATGGGCACGACCTGGCCGAAGGGTGTTTGGGATGCGCAGCTTGACTCGAAAACAAACGACCACTCCCCAGACATGCTACGACAAAGTCGACACCGCCCGGCTGGGTCGGACGGCTTGCAGCAAGGAAGAGGGCGTTACTATTTGCGGCCGACATCTGTTCTGGAGTGACGGACAATAAAGCATGCGACAACTCGCCGTCGATCTCGTGGAGGGAGGGAGAGGACTGTAGAGTGTGGCAGGGTTGTAGGGGTCTGGAGGCTCTGTAGAGGATGACACGAGAACAGTTGGAACGAAGAGAGCGAGGTGCTGCCAGAGCAGCAGAGTGCAAAGCGCAGACAGACAGGCAGGCAGGCAGGCTGGGAACGGACAGGTACGCGCGATGCGCAAGTTCGCAGCATATGCCCAATCGAGAGAGGGGGAGGGGTATCAAGAAAGGTTGTCGTCTCTGCGTCGGGTCTCTCGGTCTGTGGTGCGAGCAGTGCGGCGGCGAGCGATAGGCGCCCCGTGCATATCATCAACGTCGTTGTTGTTGTTGTTGTGGTCGTCACGTGTAGTAGGTAGTCGACGCCCGTCGTCCTACCCGCCGTGCTCATGTTTTTATTTTTGTTTTTATTCTGTGTTTCTTGTTGCTGTTGTTGTTGCAACAGCCCGGTGGTTGAGGCGTTTGTGATGGTGGTGATGGGCATCATCTGGCTCGTCCTGGTCGTGGGAAAAGCGACCCTGTGTCTGAAGGTTGTGTGAGGATGTCTGTCTGACGTTTGATGGCGGGGTCAAGCGATGGACGGGTACGTGTTACAGAGGCGCGCCTGCGACTGCTATTGGCCCGTTTTCGCGACCACCCCCTGGATCCACCCGGCCTGCCGGCGGGGTACGTACCACGACATCATGAGACTAATCCGGATCGGGTCAAGTCAGGAACAGAAGGTGCTTCCGCCCCGGTCAGCCTCCCAGCCGCAGAAGGGAACGAGGGGTACGTACTTCCCAAAACAGAAGTCCATATTTCCTTTCTTTATTACTACACTACGTACCTACCTTACTTCGTACATACCACGTACGCTACTACGGATGCTAGCGCATACGTTATATGAGCTTTAATATACACAAGTAATCGGTCAATCGGTGCGGCGGGGCCGATTGCCCCTGTCCCAATAATACGGTACCTACTAGGTTGTCCGTTCGTGAAAGAGGCTCCCAAAAGGTAATTTTCCCGCCAGAGCCGCTCGCTCCTAGGTAGTAGGTAGGTAGGTAAGTAGGTAGGTAGGTTGGTAGATCGGTACGACATCGACAGGCTCAGACCCAATACTACGCAACCCGGCTGTTTGGTTGAATGTCACGGCCTCTCCCCTTCACGAACAAATGTTGTTCTCGCCGCTGTATCACTAGGCGTACCTCGTTGATAACCGTCTCGAACTAAGAGCCGCCCGGCTGGGCTGGGCTGGGCCGGGCTACGCCAGGTCGTGCGTACACGTCCCATGATCCATCAGATCGACCATCTCCAACACCCCCTACCCGGACCTATACCTACTGTGGTATACTATGTTGTTTTAGAACCACCTCTACCGAGGTGTTGGCGCGTCCAGGTGTCTGGTATCCTCCCGGGCAAGAGCATCGGCATTACCATTGGTGTTGGCATCGAAACATGAGGCTGTTTCTTGTTCGTCTGTCCCTGGCGACGCCTCGGCCCTGGCGTCAAAGGTCGGTCTCCGTCCGTCACTTTCCCGCTCTGCAGTCATTGGACCGCACTGCATAGCGGCATGTTTGTCGATATTGACTGCCCTACACTACAGCATCCCGATGCATTGAAGTCTGAATTGCGTGCATGCATGCATGCGCCCACATCGATACTTTGATTAGCTTTACCCACGCCTCCATTCGTGCGTCATCACGTCGCCGTACTAAATGTAAGTGCAATGAGGGGGTGGCAGCAAGCGCGGCTGCTATCCATAAGACCTGCCAATCGTTTTCCGATCCGAAATTTCTTGCGTCTGCCCAGCCATATCCGGCCATCGCACGACACACGAAATAAGGCCTTGTTCCCTTCTCCCGCGTGTCTCCTGCTGAGTGTCCCCTCGTGGGTGCCGCGGTACACAAAAATATCAACGAGGGAGGCCAGCCAGCCTCACACCACTTTTCCCCGCCAAGATGTGGAGAGGGCAATGAAAACGCTTCACCTGTTTTCGTAACAGCAGCACAATCAAACGATCGTTTCTTCCTAGAGAAGAAAAAAAAAATTTCCGGCCCTCAGGGGGCGGGCGTTTGGTAAGGGAGGTTTCTAATGACTTGTTGCTTGCCTGGCTGTCTTCATTTGGGAATCCCACCCATATTGGTCGAGTTCTGGCCCTGGGCCCACGTCCCTTGAAACTCGCTAGCCAGCAGGTGCAATTTCACCCACGTATCAGCCCTTTCCCTCCTGGTTGCCATTTTCCCCTCCCAGAACTCTATCGGTACGTACCGAAAGGGCCCATCGATACACCATCTGAGCCACTCAGGCATCATCAACGCGGCTCCTAGGACGTCTCAGCCAATCAATTGTGTGTCTGCGAGCTTCACCTTCCCCTCTCTCCCTTCAGTCTTAGTCTTCCAACCACTCCCCCCCCCGGGTACAATCACCACGACCACCAACCAGATCAGTCACTCGCCATCCCGATCATCCGTATCCGTAACCTTACCACAAACCCAAACACGCACACGGCGAACAGACAGCCGGCCAATCACACACACACCCTCGAACAACCGGCGGGACGAACATGGATCGTGAGAAACAACCAGATGGACTTTACTGCAGGAATCCTGATTTGTTTCTCGAATCTGTATCTGGTTTGCACTTCTCTAACGAGGGGCTTTCCCCTCCTTGGACTCCTGGCCATTGAGCTCCCCGCCTAAATCGCCCCCCCCCCCCCTTTGACCTTCCCTTCCCGCTAACCTCCGGTCACCAACTGACGGTTGAGTTGGGTTGAGTTGGCCTGTTGGAGAGTCCCAGTCGAGGGTCTGGGCTGGGCCCGCAGTCCGAGAGTTTGACATGTCTGAGCCAACCTTCGGCCCCGGGCCTCCACCGTTTGCGCCCACATCAAGCTTCATCTGACGTTTCTGCCCTGTCAAACCAGACTGGCGGTGTGCTGCATAACCTAACAGACGGGTCGCCGTCCGAGTCAGACCAGTCTCGTCTTTCACCACTAATCGTAATTTAACCCCCTAGAAGACAGACGAGAAACATACTACAGCCACAAAAAACCGCTTGGTAGAACCAGGCCATCCCTTGAGTGGCCTCGCTACCTCACTCTCACTACTCGAGGTAATGCGAAAATCTGGAACTAACAATGGGGCGGTGAAGATCGAAACACAGCCCGCCGCGCTCCTCATGGCCCCAATTGTCCGTGGCAGAACCATAACTCGTAGTAGTCCGTTCCGTATTTCGGGCGCCGTAGGATTTACCCCTTCTCGCCATGTAAACCCCGTGAGCTTTGGCAAAGCCACGACGTTGAGCTAAGGAACGAACCAGATTTGGTCATTGTTTCAAGCGCCAGCCATGGTGCCGTTTTGATTTCGTATTCTGGTATTCAAATTGCAATATGGCAGCCAAAAAAAAAAAAAAAAAGACCTGGGCGTGTGAAAACCGTAAGAGCCAAGCACTGGCGGGAACAAAAGACCTTTCGTTCCTACCACCTCAGACCACCACCAAGACGTGAGGGTTGCATGCCACGGGGCGGGATCCCCATCATCCGGTTGATTAGTAGCCGCATCGTTTCCCATTCACCCATGCAATCCGCTGTCGGCAAAGCGGAAGTATCAGAAGGGCTGCCACCCCCAAAGTTGGTGAGACTTGTCCAACGCCCGCAGCCTGATCGATCCGGTGGAGACCGCAAACCGTAGTAGTCTCCAACTCTCCCAGAGGAGTCAGCAACTGTGACATCCCGTATCCATTGCTCTGCCATCTTGTCTCGTTTCTGGCGATGGTGATGATGATCCTCGGGAAGCCCATGCACCGAATGCTACTGTTGACCAGAGACAATGTGTGGTTGGTGGACTTTGTCTGTTAGAAACGCAGACGTGGCCGTATCAACTGAGCCTCTGTCTCGGGACCAGATTCACCTTACTTTGTATAAGCTCCCAGAAAAGCCCGCTGCTGGGTTCGTATAAAGTATATCCTGTCCTCAACTGGACGAATAGTACCACCTGGTCTCTTGGCAGGAGCTCAGCATTACTTCTCTCGTCTGATCTATTCAGAGATGGATTGGGGGACACTCCGCATTCAACAGTCCTGCAACAGTATAAGCGCATCCACCGGGGACGGAGTTTGTGAGAATGGCGAAATTGCAGGCCCCGGCTGGGACTCTGCCCGCTGCAGATGCTCGTTCAGGGCTTGACTCCTGTGTTTGCAATCGCCAGAAACGGAAAGCCCTTTTTTTTTTTTTTTCTGGTCATCTCTCGGTTGCCGAACCTTGCACAGCTCCTAGAATCCGGTTCCGCTTGATTTTCCCAACAAGTCGATAGATGCCCAGGGATCTGGCTTTTTTTTTTTTTAATGAAGTTGCAGTGTAACTGGTACCTGAGTCCGTTCCACGGTCTTGCTCGGCCGAGTGCGGTGGCTGGCTGGCCGAGCCCAGCCTTGTGGGCCTGCCTGCGCTGCCACTTTCCGACTGGGTGCACCTTGCGAATCACCTCCTTCTCGTCCATCGACGCCTCCAAGAATACAAGGCTGGCGCGGAAGAACACGCTTGGAAACTTCCAGCGGCCGTCCCAACCCTCCGTGTTTGCGCGTGTTTTCACCACGGATCGCCGCTGGGTCATCTGTTCGTCGGCCGTCTCACCACACGCGCATGAATCCTGGCCGTCCAATGTCTCTTCGTCCGCATCCTGAAAAGATCAACGAAAGGAGACAAAACCGTTCGCTGCAGGCACAGGCAAGGGCACCCAATCCGCGGCTTGGCCGATCCAAGGATAACCAGGCGCACAGTTTTGTGGTGGACATGTCTTCGTTTTTCAGCCGCCAGAGGGTCGCGAGTCTCAAACACTTTGTGCCGGAGCCCTGCGACCAACGCCGTTTCGAAGCCGGGGCCTCTTATCGCGACCCCCCGGGGAGGCATAAACTCTGTCCATGTTCGGAACGAACATACAAGGTCGAGTGGGCTAGAATGTCGTCACAGAGCCTGGCCGCCATACAAGCATGAAATTAAGAGACGGGATGGCAGTAGACAACAACTGGGACAGGGTGTATGAGGCCGTTTTAGGTTTCCTGTCGACAACATGAAGCTCAACGAGGGTTCCTCTTTGTGATACCCTACAATGGATCGCCTTGGCTAGGTACCTCGGCTCCTCTCTGTGGTCATCGGGCTCTTTCCCTCTTCGTCTTTTTTTCTGCGCCTGGTACGGCCATGGGGGCAGTCGCCAGGGTCGGACGAGCCACCTTGTTTCGTCGTCTCTTTCTCGGTGTTTGAAACAATCTCTGTCTTGGGCAACTACCGTAGCAACCTCGCGTTTGTTTGGGCGGTGAGCATGCCTGATTGGGTGCGATACGCAGCTGGCCTTACAGTCAACGTATTGCGGGATCAGTGTCTCATCTTGGTCGCTTCGTGACCAGTAGGCAAGGTGTCGCCCAAGTGCTCTCCGTACGGTGTTGACACACGGGAAGCCGGCGTTGGAGAGACCCCGCCTGCACGGCACACGGACGGGGGTGTATAGCGGAACGGCGCCGAGTACCCGCTCACTAGTGCTTCGATCTGGAGGGCGACCAAAGAGCTGGCCGGATGCAATTGCAACCGTGCACTGTGAGACAGTTCGGTCTTGAGGATCTCCGCCCCGACACCCCCTCCCGATGCGATCTGGGAATTCGGGCCTTCGGTCCGTTGCCGTGGGGTTTCTGGAGCCCGCGCCGTGGTTACGAAGAACGGGGATGGCCGCCGGGGCTCCGGGACGCGGCATTCTCAGAGACCCAGGGTGCTGACGAAGAAACCGCTTTGCGAACTCGACATCCATAGAATGGCTTGGTTCGCGAAGGGGATACCCATTGGGCTATGGACGCGAGCTCAAACCCGATAATTCTGGAACTATGAGACGCGTATTCGCAGACACCGAGGCGTATCTCAACCAACACAAGATGATGAATGTCGCGAGGCTCCTCCTCTCTCTCTCTCTCATGGACCTTGAACGCTGGGACGGCGGAAAGCAGAGAGACAGTACCTAGAATAGGCTTGCTCGTGCTGTCAGTGCCACGCTGGCCTATGAGCAACGCCCGGGCAGCCGAACGCACAGAGAGAGGTGTCACGACGGAACCGTGGGTGACGAGGGGCCGGGATGTGAGATAATCCGTTCTCTACCTATTTTTGTCCACCCCTCGGACACGCTCACTGAGGCAAGAGGTTGTTGCTCTTTCGGGCAGCCGCATCATCATTTCCGTTGTGGCCCACGGCGAGGTACGCATGGGAATACAAAGCCCAAGGTGCCCAGGTCATGAGGTCGAGAAGAGTACATGCAGCGACCTCGTCGAGCAGAGGTACCCAACGAGATCAGAGGTACTGTACGTACCGTCTAGAGTCGGATGGTTTGATGGGTGTCCACCGGCAGTACCGCTAACAGAAGGTACATAAGGCGAGGATCAAGTACATGGACCATGCAGACGGTACTTCGAGTACATGTTGGGAAAGGCTGCACGGGAGGGACACAGTAGGCACAGGTCACATTCGCGCCATGGCTGGCATTTAAGCTCATTCTATCAAAGGGCAGGAGACGATGAGACTTTTGGCTGGATTCTTTTTTTTTTTTTTTTTTTTTTTGTGATTCTCCATCGCGCTTGTTTCCCCCCTCCCCTCAGTTGGAGGGGGAGAGGTCACTTAGCTGCTTGGTTGATGCCTCGCCCGCCAGGCCCGCCAGACACGTCAGGCAAACAGGAAATGAATGTGGCGCAGGACCCGATTGTGCGATTGGCATCGAGCGATTGCGACTGATTTACACTACTTGGTGCCGTTGACCTGGGGGTTGGGGATTCGGCATGATAATGATAGAAGTGGCTGGGTTTCCCCGCAAGAAGAAACGCTGCTTCTGCTTCGGCCTGTGACTACTACGTAAGGTCATCAATCAGCACAGCCAATGCCGGGCCGGGGATACGACGACGACTGACGGGGTAAGCATCTGTCAAACTCCGTCGTATCCGACCTGTCCGTCCGCACCGATACCATGGCCGACGGGAGCCTATTCGCACGAGCTAGGCTGGGCCGGGCTGAGCTGAGCTGAGCTGAGCTAAACCGGGCTAGACTGGACTCGCATCTGCATCGCGTCCAATTGCTAACTGAGGAAAACCAAGAATTCCCTACGATGGATGACAGGGAGCGGCGGTACAGGTGCCACTGGGCTTACTTGTAAAGTCGACGACGGCTTCCTTGGATTGGGAAGTAGCGAGCCCATGTGCTTGGAAGGAACAGAGCGGAGAAGTGACCGGGCACGGAGCAGCCAGTGAGCATCGGCCCATGACGAGGTGACGAGTGACCACTGACAAGCGACATGGCCTGTGCAGTACGAGCCGAGCATGAGTCTGTGCATTTGTCTGAAAAGTCGACGGCCGAGATGTCCAGATAGCTGAATGCTATCAAAGCCAGCATTTCGGCTAATGTTCGGCGTCTATGATGGACTTGGTGACTGGTCTTATGGACCCACACTTGCTATCGTGTGGCCACCCCGGCGTCGCCCCCCCCCCCCCCCGCTTCCTTCCCTCCCTTCGTTTCTTTTCCATGTTCCCTCGCCCTTTCCCTCAGCAATTTTCCCTCTTGACCCGTCCGTCACCCCCTTCCACCACCCACTTTCTCTCACCAGCCGAAGAAAAAGAGGGCAACCGGTCCAAAACATCACCGTGAACCAGGAAGTTACTTCCATCAAAGGTACATCCGCCACGTCCTTGGGCCTTCGCATCCCAACTCCTAACCTACTACATACATTCAATACATCCATCCATCCATCCATACATCCATCATCCATCACCGCTCTCTCCACCTTCGCTACCGCAGCCGCCCGATACCTATTACCTACCTAGGTAGCTACATCTACCTACACGGTCGCGGTACCTGCCCACCGCTCACTACCTCTGGCTCAGTTCACCCAAAAAGAGGACCAGCTCTCAAAAGACAACTGCACGACATCATTTCCCTCTAGACGCGAGCGTGCGCGGCTGTTGAGACAGCACCATCACGTCTCCAGAAAAAACGCCCATCGTCAACGCCGTCGTTGTCGCCGTCGCCGTCGCCGTTGCTGTCTTTGCACTCGCCACAGTCTGCCGGCCGGTGATTACACGCATAACTCAATCCGCCTTGGGATACTTCACCCAAGCCAATTCATCACCTCTCTCTCCCTCTCTCTATCTCTCTTCCCCTCCCCTCCCACGGGCCCTCGCATCACCTTGAGGTGGTTCCAGGCCCATCATCTCATCTACTGCTACGGCTTCATCGCTTCACTACTACACTGTCCACACTACCTCCCCTCTTGACATTGGGCCGCGCCTTAGCTCATTGTCCACGCAATACCATCACGTCACCGCTAATCGGCTCTTCCTGGTTTTCTGGTTGCTATTATTATTCTTGCACTACAGCAAACGGCCTTTTCTCTTGCGGTCGCTTTCTCTTTCATTGCCAGCCAGCCACGCGCCCGTCTCGGTTCGACAGTCGTGACTCTTGGCCCGAGTCCCCCGCCACTGCACAAACCCTGCACCCAATCTAATCCTTCCGCACATAACCGGGGGGGTTCCAGCCAACCTAACGCACGGCACATTTCGCGCACTGCCTCGACACCTGTCTACTTCTGGGCCTCTGCCTGAACCTCTGTGTCCTCGACGGATACATCACGCTACCTTTGTCGGCACCCGCCTGTACTTCCCTCTACCTATCTCATCTTCTCCACGACCTCACCTCGCCAGGTCTAGCCTGAAGCTCTCTACCTGGTTTTCATCGGACAGCGACGCGATAGAGCACATCAACACCCACTGCCATCTGTTCTCCTCGCCTTTTTCCTTCTTCTTGCCGTCTTCTGCTGCCCTTCCATCGCACTCTACTCTCCGCACCATAGGGGAAATCAATCCCATTCCTTGCCGGTACCCGTCGGTCTCGGTTCGACAAACCCACGCGCCGCGTCAACTCCTCTCGGCCGCAGCGCTCATTCACCTGATTTTATCCTCTCAAATCCTTGCCCTGCCTGTTCTTCCGTCCAGGTTTACCGGCTCAATACCTGGTTGCTACTGCTACTACGGCTGCGCCGCCACCTGGTTCTTTTTCTTTTTTTTCTTTCCTCCTTCTCCCACCTTCTTCCTGCTGCTGCTGCGTGTCGTATCGCGTTGCTTTCGCCCAACCCGCACCACGCACACATACACACGCACCACGCGCACTGCCGCACTGCCGCGCCAACAAACCCCAGAAACAAGAGTACTTGAAGCAAACACGTCCTCGGCCTCGCCCGCCTTGTATCTTTGTCCCTTTTATCTCGACTCTACTTTCCATTACTTCCCCCAACCATCTCACCGACCATCCCTTCCCCCCTTCCTTCCCACATCCGAGGAAGGAAAGAAAGAGAGAGAGAAAAAAAAAGCCCTTCCCAATCCCGGGCGTGTGTGCGTGACCCGCTTCTTGCTCTTGCGACGTCAGGCTTGGTCCAAGTCGCTTTTCCACCCCCGAGAGACAATATTCTCCATCCATCAACCAGTTGGTTTATGCATCGTTGTTGAGTTAATACTACTACATTGCCCGTAAGTACCTACACCCTATTTTCCTAGGTCTCTTTTCATCCCTCGTCCCGATTGAGGAGCGACTCATCGTATGTACCTCAACGATTGAATTGTCGCGCGTCTTGTATCGATCTCGTCGGCGCTCACACTGTCGCGTCTTTCCCGTTCCCCCCGTTACCTAGTCAAAATTTTCTTTCTCCTTTCGTCTCTTCACCTTCACCTCTCCCCGTATCGAGCGTAGACACGTTGTCGCCTCATTTCTACCTACGGACTCTCAATCATATCGAGCCCATCATGTCTCTATCACTACCCGATTGAAGAACCTGCTTTTTTATTTCTCTTCCCGTCATCATCATCGTCAGCGCCATCGTTGGCACCACACACCTGATACCGATTTCGTTCCTTGTCCACAAGTCACGACATCATGTACCCTCCATCGCGAGCGGCCCGTGTCGCGTTCGCGCGTCACGTACACGGACTAGATGGACCCGCCCTCTCACCCTGCCCCTATGACTTGCGCGACACCTCGCTTCCTCCGGTTGCGAAACATTCACACGCGGTGCTAACGGTTTGGCCCATTAGAACATGCAGCAGTGGCAAGTCGGCCCCGTGCCGGAGTACATCTACTCCAACTCCACCCATCAGCCTAGCGACATGCAGTAAGTACCTCCTCCACCTTGTACCCCTCGACCTCTACATTTTGTCCGCAAAATACCTAAAGTCACTCCCGCTTCCCCTCCCATCCCATCCCAACCCATCCATCCCCCTTCCTATTCCATCCTCCGCCCCGTGAGGCTGCGTACCGGTGCCACCCACTCAACGGGTTTCTCGAGTACATCCTCATGTACCCTTCGGCATGTCTTTCCCTCAAGCAAACCCCGGCCACGCTTGGCCTTGCTTGACGGTGTGTAATGGAGGGTGTAACGGGCAATAACAACAACAACAACAACAAAAAGCACCTCCCCCCTGGCTACCGGCGATGGTGCAGACTCGCTGTCGCTTGCTAATTGCGATCCCGTTAAGGGGGGGGGTGGGGGGCGGGAGAGAGAGAGAACCCGTCACTTCACATCACGTCACGTCACATATTCACCCGCCATGCCGATTCATGTTGCAACGAAACTTGACTAACCACTCCATCCTAGTCCTCAACACCCTTATCAGCAGGACATGTCTCGTCGGGACCAGCACCCGCAGTTCCAGTATGGAGCGCCGCCTCACCAGAGCCCGGCCCCTCAACACCACCAGCCCACTCCGGTGCAGCCTCCGATGAGCGTGCCCCAGCCGCCGCCCCAGCCGTCTCAGGCCCAAGCCCAGCCTCATCACCAGCAACATCACCAGCAGCAACAGCAGCACGTCCAGCAGCAACACGCCCAGCAGCACGCTCAGCAGCAACAGCACGCCCAGCAGCCGCAACATGCACCGCAGCCCCCGGCACAGCCCCAGAGAAACCGCAAGCGTCCGGCCCCGGCTCCGGCTCAACAGGCTCCGCCAGTCGTCACAAGCGCCCCTTCTATGCCGGCTGCCCCCGCCGCGCCTACTGCAACCCCCATCCCGCCACCCGTTGCCCCTCCCGCCGCTGCTCCTCCCGCTCAGGCCCAGCCTGCGGCGACGGAAGACGCTGCTGCTGCTCCTCAACCTCCTCCGGCCAAAAAGAGCCGGACGAATACTCCATGGACCCCGGCAGAGGAGCTTCGCCTGAAGCAGATGAGAGATGCCGGCAGCAGCTGGGCCGAGATTGCCAAGGTTCGTAATTATTCCAATGCCACTATTTCGCCGCTATCAGCAACTAACGTATACCAGACTTTCCCCACTCGTACTGAGGGCAGTGTCAAGAAGCATTGGTACAAGGATATGCACTACGCCGAGTTCGCGGAAGACGAGGTTCGTTGCGGACTCCCTTGGACGCTGTCGCCGCGACGTACCGCTAACAGTTCACAGAGCCAAGCCCTCCTCAACGCCATCAAGGAGTACGAAAACAACAAGTGGAAGGTCATCGGGCAAAAGGTCGGCAAGCCCGCCAAGGCTTGCGAACAGTACGCCAAGGAGCACTTTCCCGGTATGCCCTCTCTCAACATCGCGTCGGCACGGCCGCATCCACATCAACGATACTAAATAATTCGTAGACCTCTACGCCAAGCCGACCAACCGGTAGAGGGCCCCTCGGTTTCTCGGCTGTTCTGAGGATACTCGGGAGATGGGCAACACTGCGAAACGGCGCTGGGGAGTGTCTCAATGCGTTGGGTTTATACCAAATGTGTTTCTTCTTTGTCGTTCTGACGATCTCAACGACCCGGACTCGAAAAGACGATTCCCCCTTTGCACTTTTTCATTATTATTTTACCCCCCCCTATTATTCTTTCTTTCTTTTCTTCTTTCGGGGGTCGAGCTTTAATTCTCGTTCAACCAACCATTGTATCCTGTGCTTCTCTCGCCGGCATGGACAGACTGGCTCGATATCACTGGCTCTGACGGACAGTGGTGGGGGGGTTAGCCTGCTTGGGAACACCATCGATTGCCATGTACGCGGATGTTCCCGGTAGGTCGCTGCGGCTTTTATCAATGTGCTCCGAATTTTATAGCGCAACACGAAAAGGACGTTGATTGATGGCGGGTGATTTTCATACCCGTTCGAGATGCGGTCTGCGCACGCGCACGCATGGGGAAGGGCTTCATCTCTGTGGTGGTGAAATGCGTTGGCCTGCGGTGGAGATATTCCCCCTCTGTTACGTCCCCTAGACTCAAGAAGGATGTAATGTGCCTGGGCGGATGTTTATCGAGAAAGATGGGGGTTACTTGGAGGATGGACAAAAGACTTGTTCGGTGTGGCCGGTCTCTTGGAGGGATGGATGGCAGAATTTTGGACGGTGAAATTGTTCGATTCATGATGAGTCTATACCCTTACTGAGTGAAGAACTGTGTTCTGTTTTCGGGCCCAAGAAAGACGTGGTGTGCAGTTGTGTGTATGACCAGACATGGGCCATCGATATGCTCAATTTGGCACGACAATGTCGATGTGATTCTTTTGATTTGGCGATGTCGAAATATGTTGGTCTTTGAAGACTTTACCCGTCAGTCTATTGAACACGGTTATTCATAGGCGCTCTTCGCCCGTTGACTGGATCCCAAACAATTTGCTACTAAGTCCAAAACTTGGCATTATGGACATCGTCAAAGCCCCAGCTGGACTCCTCTTTCCCTCTCAAAACGGGCCTTCTGCGAGCCCGTCCCCCTGACTGGCCCCATTCTCTTCGCGATGGTGGCCTTTCCTTCATGACGTGGATGGCGAGGGCCTTGCCTGCCGAGTATGGAGGGGCCCTCGAGGAGTGCTGCTCCACAACCGATGGTTATCGGTGTTCGAGATCGACCGGCTTTTCGGTCCTGCCCCACTCCCTCCCGACTGGCGGCCTCAGATGCGAAGGACAAGGGCAGAAGTACCTCGCCGGGGTTCATGGCGGCGAAGTACTGTACATGGACTCGAAGGGCTCATCTCACACCACCCCCTACCCCCGGCTGCATATAATGCGTGGACAGACACAGTACCACTGGAAACGGGACCAGATGACGGACATTTTCGACAGCGTAGCCTCATGAAAGGTCCAGCCGCTGGACCAGGACGGCTCGCACACCTTCACCGTTTTAACGTTTCTGGCCCTATAGCCCGATCACGGCGGACGAGTTTGAGAAGACCGTCGCCGCTAGACCTGGAACTGGAAGTAGCTGGGCATAAGTCAGGTGTTGGCGTAGACGTGGCCTCGGATGATGGTATTCTACAAATACCGGCTGCCTGGAAAAGCGGTCTTGTCAAATGCGAGCCTGTTCGTCTCATCAACCAAGGTGCTAGGAAGGCGTTGGCGTAGTGGTGAACTCTTACCTGCATCAGTAGACGGCTTGAATGACATCGAGTTTCAGCCCACGCAAAAGAACCTGCTTGACTTGGCACTCTGGCGTCGGCAGCTCGACCTAGTAATTTCAACGCATTATTAGTCTTACAGAGCCGCAAGTCGACGAGATAGTTCAAGGGACAACACCGCCAGTCTCACTCAACGAGCAGGTCATAGCCTAGATAGTCGACGAGTAAAGACGTTCTGTCTGTGGTCACGTTGATCTGCTTTGGGTCCAATAAGACTTACTCCCTTCACATCCAGCGTCCACAGGGTTACAACTGGTGGCATCTTCCTTCTTAGACGAGTGACGAGGCTCTGCGGCACAGGTGGTCAAGGTTACAACGCCATCCCGAAGAGGCGTCGGGGTCTTGAATCCTTGGGACAATGAAGAGCCCGCCACTTCTTCTGGATGTAGAGTTCTACTATTGTCGCGGGAGGCCTTTGCCCTTGTAGTGGGTGACAGGAAGCCGAATATCGCTCGAGCTTGCAGCCTAAGCTCGGGTCATGGAGAGTAACACAGCTCATCACGTGGTAATGGATTGCAGTTGTATTGGCAAGGGACCCAGGAAAAAGTTTAATGCAAGAGCAAGTTATCTATCTGCGCCATTCTATCGCCTGGCTTGTATATGATGGGTGAGCCTGGATCAAGTTGGTGTTTTGTCTGTTGGTTCTCGGAAGCTTCGCCTTAGCTATAAAGCCCAGGCGAGAGATGGCTATGTTACGCCTTCTATTAATAAATAGGAGAAGAAGAAATGCCTGCATCATCTAGATGGTGTGAGGAAGGCCGAGTAGATGCCGAACATCCGACAACCGCATACGTAGATAAGCCTGGTATGCTGTGACAGCTAGCCAAGCTTACATCTGCTCGCAGCCGCTCTCGGACCACCAGGTTGACAAGCTAGGGTTTCTATCGGTAGTACGGCGCAAGGCCGTCTTTGTGATGATATTAAAGACGCCTCGGCGGCTTTAACTGACAAACAACAATGTTGAATCAGCGACGACAATTTGCGGCGACGACCATTTGCGGCGGGCAGGTGCCGTGACTTACATAGGCATTCAACGGTGCGTGGTGTGATGGTGATGGGGCGGTGATTGGGTGATGCCCGCATTCAGTGTGCATGTCTCACAGCGTTAGGTAAGAGAATGCCTATCTACTCGTATTATTGTTATTTGTTTGTTTTCTCGGATGGGACGGCATGGTGATTGTGGCGGAGAAGCTAGCAAGAATGTACGATGTAACGTACGTATTTTACAAGTGGTAAACAAATAACGGGCACTAAGTAATTAAAACACAGCGTCCCAACGGTGGCAAACAGACAATGGTTAGAGAGTGTTGGTTGACGGGACAGTCACGTTAGCATGTTTCTGGCGCAACAGCACCAAAATTAGGAAACGGGTAACCGGGTGGCTATCGATTGATGACCGACTATAGATGGCAGGCGCAGGCGCAGCATCTGTCAGTCAAGCCTCGCTCGATAGCAGATGGCGCCCGTAGGATACATGGTGTAATGCAACCGCCGCTGTGAGCTGATGCAGTGGCACATTGTCAGTGTCCTGTCCTGTCCGTACCATATAGCGTACATGACTGCAGAGCCCGAGGCAATTTCTCTGTGCCTGCAGCGAGGCAACTGTCAAAACAACAGACAACGTTGAGAGAAGAAACATATTGTATATTCCTCCGCGCTTTGCAGTGCGTGCGTGCTGTGCACGGTGCACCGGGAAGCAAGCACATGGCCGAAAATCACTGCAGACCGAGACTCTATCGAATTGAAAAAGTGGACGGACGGGGAGAGAGCAAGGGAACACGCTGGAGGAGAGAGCCGAGGAAGGCGACAGGGGCGGAAACTCTGATGATCTTTCAGGTTCTATTCGGGGGCTAGTGCCCAATCGGGTTTAGCGAACACGCGAAAATCGTGATCGGGGAGGCGGACCTTGGGACGCGGAGGAGTCGGTCGGAGCCAATGAGGGGCGAGGATCAGCAGCCACCTCATTTGGGTACGAGAGCAGGGGGGCAGGGCAGGCTTACGCAGTACCGGTATGTAGCATCTCTCCCCCCGTACTTGTTTTTTTCATGTTCACGAGCATGGCATGGCACGGCATTGCATGGCATGACAGGAGAGGGGCACTGGGGCACTGGGGCACTGGGGCACTGGGGGCACAGGGACAACAAGCCTGAACCGGTTCTGGCTACCTAAATTGAACGCACTTGGCCCGATGAGGGAATGAAGAGTGGCGCTGCGACCCCCATTGGTATGCCCCGGATAGGTTGACTTCGAGAGAAGAGGGGGAGAAGCCTGGGGGATGACCTCTCCATTTCTTCTCCCCCTTGCGTACCGGACCCTGAAAAGAACCGAGTAGGATCAGCGAAGAGAAGCGAGAGGCAGATAGGCACACGCAGAAAAGGGGCAGACACAGGGAGGGAATGCGAGCGCGAGATGCTGATAGTGTTGTGGCCGTGTGCACTTAGCGCACCAGATCGACAGAGAAGTTCATTGTTGGCCCGGCTCTCGGTAGGTACAGGCAATGAATGCACTGTATCCGTATGTAGATATCTACCTGGGTAGGCAAGTAGGTACGTAACGTCACCGTAGATACCTGTGTGGGTATGTGTGAGGAGAGTACCTACATGTAGTTTCCATCGTCTACCTACCTGGCTCCCTAGGTAGGTAAGTAGGTAGGTGCGTATGTATGCTTGGTCGACAAAGGGCCAAGAAAGAGAAGGCTCGCTCGCACGATTGACTTCCCGCGCATGCCTGCTCCTCCTACCGTCCCCATCCCTTCCCATCCCTTCCCATCCTGAATTAATACTTGTGGCTTCCCTCCTCGAGTCACCACCAACCGTCTTCCCTACTGTCGCTCGCGGTCGTCACTCGTTCTTGACCTGCACTGCCTTGCTTCCTTTCGCTACCTACGTTACTATCGCTTAATACCTACCTAGGTACACTCTCGTCTCATCTCGTCTCGTCTCGACACCAGCCGGTTCACTCTCCGTGTGTTAACCCAAGACCATCGTTTCCCGCGCGACCAGACGAATACGAACCCCAACGCCCTTGCGTCCGTCGTCCCAAATCGACTCGAGCCAACCCACGGAGTTGGGATCCCCAGATCATCCACCAAAGTCTGTTTCGTCGCCCATCTCGACTTCGATATCCAACGTCGACCTCGGCAGACGCACCATTTGTTTAACGTCCGACAAACCAAGTCTCGGCGTTGTTTGTCCCGACGGGACCACGAGCCATCAGACACTTGAACTCCTCCCCGCCGCGGCTGTAAACATATACGCATCCCCCCGTCGCCTGCGGTCAGCGAGCGTCGAGTTCAATACCAGTCGAGGGACCTTCGCTCAAAACAGCTCGCACCACATCGTCTCCTCCAAGAACCTTCGGGCTTCGAAGCCATTCATCCTCCTCCTGTCGTGATACCGTAGCCCTCCCCCCTTCCATTCATAATCACCACCCGTACGCCATAATGCTGTCAATTCTGCCCTTGGGCTTTGCCCTTCTCGGCGCCTCGACTGTTCTCGCCCAGACCCCTCCTTCCTGCTCCCTGACCAACAAGTGCCCAGAGGACGCCCCCTGCTGTTCCCGTAAGTCAAAAGCAGCCTCAGTACGTTGTATCATCAACTGACAAATCCAGAATATGGCCAGTGCGGAACTGGCGCCTTCTGTCTTGGCGGTTGCGACCCCCGCATGTCCTTTTCGCTCGATGCCTGCGTTCCCTCCCCCGTCTGCCAGGACAAGAAGCTGCCTATGAACTCGCTCGACAACATTGTCGACATTAGCAAGTATTTGGGTGACCCGAGCAAGGCCGACTGGGTCGCACAGGGCGAGCCCGCGCTGTACAATAATGAGGCTGTGCTCCTGACCATGCCTGCAAAGAGTGTCGGGACTGTCCTCGCCTCAACCACATACTTGTGGTATGGCAACGTCAAGGCCACCATCAGGACCTCGCGTGGTCCTGGTGTCGTGACCGCCTTTATCCTGTTCGGAGACGTCAAGGACGAAATCGACTACGAATGGGTTGGTGCCGATCTCGAGATGTCCCAGACCAACTACTACTTCCAGGGTATCCCCAATTGTAAGCCGAGTCCACCTTATAAACTGTAAATTTCATTGCTGACCCTGATGCCAGACGATAATTCTGGCAACATCTCTCTCTCCAATACATTCAGCAACTGGCATACGTACGAGATCTCGTGGACCCCCGACGAGATCCAGTGGCTGGTCGATGGCCAGATTGGCCGCACCAAGAAGCGCTCTGACACGTGGAACGCGACCGCCCAGCAGTGGAACTACCCGCAGACGCCCGCCCGCGTCCAGCTGTCTATCTGGCCCGGTGGTGCCGACACCAATGCCAAGGGAACCATTGACTGGGCCGGTGGCCCCATCGACTGGGACAGCGAGGATATCAAGACCGCCGGGTACTACTACGCCATGGTCAAGGACGTCGAGATTAGCTGCTTCAACGCCAAGACCCCCCCGGGCACCAACAACAATAAGAGTTACTACTACGACAACATCAGGGCCACCAACGACACCGTTGTGGACAGCGACAAGGGCACCATCTTACAGAGCTTTCTCGGCACCGGTCTCGACATGGATGCCGGCGCCACCACCGCCTCTGGCACTGTTGCAAAGCCCACGGTCACCGCGGCCACTATCCCCGGCGGCAGCAACGCCGGACCAGGCAACGACCACAGCAATGACAACAGCTCGCCAAGCTCAGGATCTGGTTCCGGGTCCGGCTCAGGATCTGGTTCCGGGTCCGGCTCGGGCGATTCCGGGTCCGGGTCTGGCTCCGGATCCGGGTCCGGGTCTGGTAGCAGCTCTTGTGGCACCGGTGGCTTCTCGCAGGACTGCAACAGCAACGGCAACTCCGGTTCTAACAACACAAGCGACGGCGTCTGCCGCAAGTCGTCGTTTGGCGCAAGTGCTTTCGCCGCACTTGTGGCAGCATCAGCCCTCTTCTGGCTGTAGGCTGGAAGCCCATGCTTCAGTTTCATCGTTTGAAAAGGTTTAATGGAAAAACTTGGCTCGCCCACTGGGTTTCGATTCGGGCTCGTTATACGTAACGAGATCATTTTTTGGTGGAGCATATTTCATGAGGCATTTGGTGGTAATGGCGTTTGCCGTCCCTTCCTTTAGCAAAGAGGTTGAGCCGCCTCATTGCATTCGTAGGCGGCCGTTTGTAAGCTTTGGGTTCAGTTCAGAGTCGCGTCCGTATATATGGAGAGGTGCGCAATCGATTTGTGGTTCAAGTTCAATGCCGTATGTGCAACCCTGTCTGTCTTGTGTAAGCCGCTTGTGAGATGACCAAAGTTAAGGGGGCTCGACCCGACAGCCAGAACCATTGAACTGCGATGGCATGCTTGCAGTAGTCCGCAATGGTGCCTGGAAGTGTCAAGAAGTGTGCCATTGGACTTGCACGGCAGATGCCGTCACATCCGAAGAGATCGGACAGAGTCGTGGGACGTGCGTCGCCGGCGACGACGGGAGATGAGACGATCATTGGAGATGGAGATGATCGATCTGGGGGCTCGACCATGGCCTAAGAGCAGCCTGGGCACTTGGTGTGCCCATCATGTTGAGTTTGAGGCATTGGCTCGCCTGTCGTCGATCGTCACGAAAGAGGAAAAACTTTTGAGTGAGCAAGGCGCGAGCTGAGCCACGTTTGGGTCTTTTGGTCAAAGTGGGATGCTATTTGTTGTTAGTGGGCGTCGTCGGACACCGCAGGGGTGCGATAGAGAGTATGTCGAGCACTATCATTTTAATAGGCGCGCCGGTTGGGTCGACAGGGATGGCGAGCGTGGGTGGATCCTTCAGATGTCTTCCTCGATCACGTCTTGGGGCGCCGGAAAGTTACTGTCGAACGGGGCAATCATCGGACTGGGGCGCGCCCCATGCCTTCTTTCTCCTTTGTCGGTAAGATTTTCGTGATTGCGCGTTTGCTGGACGGATTTCTCGAAGTTATCTCGTGGCCAGTAGTGTGTGCAGCTGGGTCGGGGCACACCTGTCATGATACATACGTACAACCACATACACACAAACGCATAATAGCTCGAGTCAATTTTTTGTTGTCTCTGTGGCACGGATGATGCGTCTAGTGAGGATCCTTGAGTTGTTCAAGCGCGGCCGAACCAAACCTTTTACAACTCCCATATGAATCGTTGCCGTTCGCTGTTCCGCGGACTTTTTTGAAAACATCTAGTTTGTGGCCAGAAACATCATCTTCAAAGTTGCAGAAATACTGGTCCCACGGGTTTCCATGCGCCCCGAGTTCGTCTAATGGAAGTCAAGTAGGCTCGCCGAGTTATCGGCTGCGTTGCCGTGATGACTGCCAAACAGCCCTGGCCAAAGCTTAACGAGTGTCAGGACCCAGACATTGATGCCGCCAACGCAATGCTGCACCAATCTCTAAGTTGATATAGAGAAAGCGGCCGATGGCCTTTGAATATCCTAGACAGCGGCTATATACTGGCAATCCCCGTTGTTGCTTCCATGGCAGCGGTACATGCCACCATCGCGGCGTTCGCAAACCAGAGACCCAGCCAACAAAGTTCCAGGCGCGCGGGATTTCCGTATGTACGACACTTCGACGCAGTGTGCGTCGAGCCTTCTTCGGAGCTATCGGACGAACATCTCAACCACGGGCGGTTCCAGGGTGCAGGCCTCGATGACCACGGCTCTGTTTGAGTTGCCGGTTTCCCGTCCCCCCCCCCCCCCCCCCCTGCTGGGTTAGTGCTGAGCTTGACCGTTGATGTGTTACCTATTGGAACCTTGCATGTTCTTTCCTCATGGTCAACCTTATGTCACCTGGCTGGATGCGGATGCGCAGTTGTCGCCGGCGGACCCCGTCCGGAGAGATACGGTTGGTTCTCGAAGCGCAGCCACTTCGAGAATAGACGTAATATGAGGTGGGTTGCCGATACTATAGGTATAAGCCGCTATGGGATCCACTGGGGCGCCAGCAAAGCCCCTGCCCCGGACCCGTCGTCTGCGGGTGCTGGCGGTTCGCAGCTCGATTCTCCGAAGTCCAGGTTTCTCATATACACAGTACATCATATTCAAGCACATAACCCAAGGCAAAAAGATTGGGTCGCGAACTCGCATATGACGAAATAGGGGGACAAGCCGAACAGTCTTCCCTGCCGACTCTTTTTTGACTTTCAAGCCTGGACGCACACCGTGAATGCAGCTCGGAATGTTTGTCGTCCAATACCTTTGCGGCCAAGGATGTTGGTTGAACGAATGTGTTTCGAAACACTGCCCTCGCTCAGCCCCTCCCAGACCAACGGCAGCGCCTAAAGGGAGTGAGTGGCCTTTGGCCCTCTGACGACCTCTTGGCATGCTAGCCCCTGTTTCATCGGTATTGGGGTAGCGCAAGGAACAAGGTTTCGTGGACTTGAATTGTCGCCTCCCGATTGCGTGTCCAACAAGGTGTATTGGACTTGCTAGACTGGAATCTACCTCTCCGACTTCCGGACTCCTCAGTGAGATTCCGCGGGCTCATAACGCGTCTGTTTTGGCTCCTGTGCCTGCCCGCCGACAGGACAGGAGCGGCTCACGGCTGGAACTGTGGGCGGGATGACAGGATCCAATCTCTGTGGACAGTCAGACGACACAGACCGCTCAACAACGGCATCTGACTGGACTTGTGCTGACCTGACGCTCTGCAGAAAGGTCTACGTGCCTACGTTATTTGCGGTTTGGTTTGGGGGAGGCTGCAGCAAACATGTCCCACAGTCGACGTCTGGCGTCTGCGCGCCCAGTTGTAGGCTGGCTGTAAGCTGCCCAAGGTCTGATCCCGGAAGGAAACACATCGCACAATGAGATAGATGCAAAAAGGGGCAGCTGGGTATGCGCCCTTTGGGGTGGGGGGTGGTTATGCGGTGCAACGAACCTGGCCAAAGGGGGCTTAATCGCCCATCTCTGACCCGCCGCCAATCGTTTCCTCGTTAAGAGTCATGATCCTGACATGCACTCTCTCTTGTCTATTTCGTCCTGCCCTTTCGAACAGGACTCGTGGAGTAAAAGGCCCCCCTCGCTGAAAGGATTTGTAAGATGCGGGGGCCTGATCCAATGAACCCAAATGGTGTAAGCAAAGGCACAGCATGCATAGGAACGACTTAGAAGGAAGAGATAGAGAGAGAGGGGGAAAATGGGTGCTATTTGTGGTGTTAGATGGCCGTGAGGCGGTGCGTCTTAGGCTGGCAAAGCTGACTGGTTGGCTGGGCTGAGTGTGGACTGACTGGGCTCGCCGTCCCATCTCACCCTATCCCTTCCCTTTTGCTTCCATTCATTTTCATTCAGACTCAGCCGTGGCTGGGGTTGAGACTGGGTGTACCTTTGGGTTCTTAGGGAGTCAAAGTAAGGAGGATTGCTTAATGCCACAGTGGACTGACGGACCGGAGTCAATGTATGCATATCCCTACGCACCAATATACATACGACCTTGCCCGGTCTCCTTGTTGGTATAGCAGTCTTATAAGGTTGCAGGTCTGCCTCCCGTTGTTCCTGGACTTCTTGCTCTATCCTTCGAATGAAATATCAAACTTGCGTACTCACCTTAAAACACATATTCACTTCTAGGAGCGGTAATTTTTCTCCAAGCTGTTGTTCATTTGACGCTTTGCCTCCCTTCCCCTCTCTATCTACTTCTTCCCATAAAAACCAACGAAACCCACACCCCCTTATAACCACAACTGACTCGATTATCTTTGACGATCGCCTTTATCTCACACGCTCCACTCCACTCACTCACTTGCTGAATACCTCACCCATTTCTCGTTTCTGACCTCCCAAACTCAACCACATCACTTTGCTCTTCAGTTTGAAATCCACAGCAACTCACGATGCGGTTTGCTTCTGTTATCGTGTCAGTCACCGCCGCCTCAGCCGCAGTCATCAGCAGACAGGATGCGCCCTCCTCCACCGCCAAGGTCTTGATTGGTGCCCCCGGGACAATTGCTGTTGCCGACTTTGACGGCAAGGAGTTCAAGATCGTTGCCAACGACTCCCGACCTGGCACCAGTCCCAGTTGGATGGCGTTCAAGGAGCCTAATCTCATCTACGCCGTTGACGAGAACTCAAATAGCACACGTTTGTTCAACGTAAGTGATGCCTCTCCCTCTGGACATTGGAAGGATTCATTGCGCTAACCCCTCTGAAGTTCAACACTGCTACAAATGAGCTTAAGTTTGTCCAGGCTGCCAACGGCTCGGCTGGTGTTGTATCCCTCGAGTTCAATGCTGACAAGACCCGTCTCGTGGGCGCTTCCTTGTAAGAGCCTCTGGCGTCGTTGATACTCGTCTCATCAACTAACAATCTTCTCTAGCGGCCAAGGTACGGTAGACGTCTGGGACATCTCTGACGCGAGCTCCCTCAAGCTTCTGAAGCAGATCACCCTCGGTGGCACTGTCGGCCCCAACAAGGCTCGCCAGGACCAGTCGCGCGCCCACCAGGCTGTCCTTGACCCCTCCGGTCGCTTCTTCGCCATTAATGACCTCGGCACCGACAGCGTCGTCATCATCGACTCCAAGGATGACGCCTACGAGATCGCCTCTCGCAACAGCGTCGGCACTGCTGGCTGCGGTCCCCGGCACGGCGCCTGGTACCCTCCCAATGGCGACAAGCCGTTGGCCTACATCGTCGCTTGCGAGCTGACCAACACCCTCGAGGTCTTGTCCGTCTCCAACAACGGTTCCTCCGTCTCCCTCACTCGAACCCAGGAGCTCAGCACCTACGGCGAGGCCTTCCCTCCGGCCAATGCCACCAGCGCCGCGGCCGGTGAAATCGTCATCTCGGGAGACGGCAAGGACGTCTACGTCTCCAACCGTCTCACCGGCAACGCGACTGACTCCATTTCCCACTTCAAGATCACGCAGGAGGCAGCCAAGGCCGGTTCCTCCTGCAAGGCGGCCGGCGCTGGCATCACACTCGAGTTCGTCGAGGCCATCTCGTCTGGCGGCCAGCTCCCACGCATGTTCAGCCTGTCCAAGGACGACAAGACACTCTTCTCCACGAATCAGCAGGGAGACGGCGCTCTTGGCTTGTTGGCGCTCAACCGCGCCCCTGATGCGGGCAAGCTGACTGCAACCGCCGTGGCGTCCCTACCCGTGACGCTCTTCGGACCTGAGGGCTTTGGACCCCAGTTCGTCAAGCAGATTGTCTGAATCGGGCGAGAGCGGCTGCCCATATTTATATATGTCCCCAAGAAACGGGTCTGTTTATTTCAAAATCGGATTTGGCGTTACAAACGGATGAAGTGGCGTTGGAGGGCGGAAAACATGGAGTGGCTGGTACATACATGAGGCCGCTTTCTTTCACTCGGTTTTCGCTATAAGATACCATAGTCATTAGAAGTCAGTTTAACTAGTCAGCAACGCTGTTTATTTAATCAGACCGTTTGTATGAATATCCTGTTGCTTTCTTCGTCTTCCATCGTGATAAATGCCGGGTCAGACTAAGGAGTAAGCAAGTGCGGCGAAGGAGATGCAGTTGGTGAAGAAAGGAGACTGGCGAGCCGTGCGGCGCGCAACCTTGATGGGTCAGGCGTCGAGTTTGCAGGAGCGTCCGCTGTAACTTAGCGAGGCATTGATGTGCTACAACGTCGGAAAGGTCGCTAATCGGCTAGACCACCCGCTAAAGACCACGGTTGACCACTGGAGATCCTCGCCCCCGCATCCATTGACCCAAGAAATTCGACGCACTGGAGATGGCCGCTTGTCGCATCGCATCCTCTCCTCAGCCTCAACGCCCATCTCGCTTCCACCAAAAGCCACCCGATCACGAACACCCTCCCGGGCTGGTACGGCATGGTGCAATAATACCGTAGACGAGATTGAGTCGACGAAGAACCTACCGCCAACCACGTGCTGCGCAGCGGCACCCCCTGCCCGCCATGTCGGACAAAATTACCTCCAAAAACCTCTCCTATGACACCACGATCCCGCCCTTCCTGCGTGCCCTCCACGCCCAGGCGGCCGGCAATGCGGCGGACCCAGACCCCATCCTCTCGAAGAGGCGGCGAGCGGGCAAGAAGCGCTCCGACAGCGAGGAGGCAGAGGACGCACCGCTCGTGGTGGACGACGAGGGCAACGTTGTCGACGTGCGGGTGAACAAGGACGGCGGCGTTGATGAGGAGGCACTGAAGAAGGAGGGGAAGGGAGGCGAGACAGCGACCATGAAGGAGGAGAGAAGGGAGGCGGAGAAGCTTGCGGGGATCGGGGCGAGCAAGAAGCGGAAAGCTGGCAAGGTTGTTGGTGGTGACGCTGCCGAGGATGCTGGAGACGACAGGGACATGTTCAAGGATGCGAAGAAGGACGACGAGGGCGCTAAGAAGAAGGCTCCCAAGAAGAAGGGCAAGAAGATTAAGCTAAGCTTCGACCCGGAGTGACATCGTGGCGATGGCGGGCACGGCATCATCAATATTACCACAACTGGCGGATATAACCGCGGGCGGGGGCTGCTGTTGCTTATAGCAGTGTCAGCGCTTCGCCATGGCCTCAACATCAGTCTACTAGGATCAGACCATCGCAACTTCGCAGACCGGCTAGCCAAGACATTCTGGAGGGAACCTGCCACGAGGCAGAAGCCGGGAGAAAAAAAAAAGGTTCTATACAGCAACAACTAAGGTAATCTACACATCTGCCGTGCTTACTCCAGAGCCACCCCGATGCCGTCTCGCCCCCAGTCTCGCCATTGTTACTACATGTCCCGCCGTCGGGCGATGCATCTATTGGTATCGGTACTCGGGCTTAACGAAGTCGGCAAAGGTCTTGGGCTCCTCGTAGCCGTGGCCGTGGTGGTGGTCGTGGTGGTGGTCGTCGGTGGGGCCGACGTACTCCATCTTGTAAACGGAGCCGCACTCGGGGCAGCGCTCGATGGGGCGGTCGCGGGAGATCTGTAAAATCATTTGGTCAGGTCATCTTGTTCCTCAATGAGAATGAACCAGGGTCCGGCGAAGGCACGTACGGTCAGCCAGATGGTGACGTGGGAGTCGACCGGGACACCGGTGCAACCGAGGTACTGCTCCTCACCGGCGGAGCGGACGGGGATGGGGTTCTCCATGGTGCCTAATTCAGCGGGTTAGATTCCTGGTGGCCGCGTGAGAGGACAAGGGGTGGGTCGCGTACCCTTGCGGGAGGCATCGAGGGGGCGCATGTCGAAGATGTCGACGCCCTCCATCTTTCCGAGGATCTCAAGACGCTCAAGACCGGTGGACTGCTCGAGGTCGGTAGGGACGGTACCGGGCTTGGCACCGGGACCCGTGAGGTCCTCCTCGACCTGGATTTCTGTGTTGTTGCATTTGATTAGCCTCGTCTTTCCGTGCAGGTTTCGATTCGAGATATCGTCCGTCGCTCCATATCGTATGACGCGGCCCGAAAGGGATGCGGGTGGTGCGTGTGCATTCCATAGGGCCGCGCCTGTCCGGGCGCGCGGCGTCGACGATGATTTCGGATCAATTGACGCAGATATTCCTTACCCTTGATGGTCTTATAAGGCTTGGCGGGGGTAGAAGGGTTGGCGTCGCCTGGTTGTGGCCACGGATGGCCGTAGAGTCAGCGACATGGGAACTTTCGGAAAGGCTTCGCTCGCGGGCCTTATTTTTTTTCCTTGGCTCGGGATCTTGAGGGGGGGAGTCAATTGGGGTTCGTACGGCGGATCATGGAGGTCGCAAAAGTGCGTCTGGCGAGGGGAGCGACGGCGGCCCGGCGGGCAGCCATGATGGCGGAGCGTTGCAAGAACATGGCGATGGCAATTGGGGGTGCAGAGAGGAGAGGTTCGTTGTTGTGACGTCGGATTTGGTTGAAGAGAGAGGGATTTGTCTATGGCCTGATTTGATGGTCGTTTGATGTTCTGCGGCTGGTCGGGTAAGCTACGGGCACCACTCGAGGTGAGCACTGGCCAAGGTACTTGCCGTAACCGGCATCATAAGCGACTTTTCCTATCACGTGATACCCTTTACAAGACACAGGCTGCCAAATGAGATGCACGACATTACTGAGCTTCCCCCCATTTATACTCACCAAGGACGCTGATGGTCTGATTTGGGAGTGTTACCTTCTGCTGCTATTGTACAAAGTTGTTACAGTCCATCATCTAAACGTCGCATTCAATCGTTCCTGAGAAAGCAAAGGGGGGATACCCCGGAACTCCCCTATTTGGTCAGAGAGCTGAGTTCGATTCGACCAGCATTCGTCAAGCCGCTTCTGCCTCATCCGTCTGTCAACTGTTTAGGTTCAGCCGCTTCTTCTACCAGCTCTCATCGGCCCTGCGAGCTGCTTCGCAGCAGTACCAGGGAAAGATGAATCCATGCGAGACCTTTTTCCCAGTCTTCGGGAACGGACTCTCTCCGACCTCAGCCCGAAGCTCTGAAATGTCTTTCTGGGTGCCGGGTACCTCGTCATCCTGGCCGACGAGAATGAAGTAGCCTGAAGCGTCTTGGCGAGGGCTTTCTATCTTTGGGGAACGGGTTCGCCTCTCAACTTCCTCGGCGTACTCGCTCCAAGCCTGCGCACTTCTGCCGCTTGCGCTGTTTGGCCTGACGTCGTGAACTTGCTGGGGAAGCTCGTTGTCCGTAACATGTGTCTCTTTCTCTCCTTGTGATGACAGAGACATGTTCTTCATCGCTGTATCATTTGCGAATAGCGAGATCTTAGGGGAATCCGAGGCCAGGCTCTCGGCTGAAGACACCGGTCGCAACGCAAGTTGCATTCCTTTCCATTCCGCTTTGCGCGCCTTCTTGGTAGATATTGCGTCCCTGTCTCCCTCCAAAGTCTGCTGCTCGACTGTTGCCGCGGATCGTCGTCTCTTACGTTGATGTTGTTGCAAGTCGTGGGTCGTTGGTTCTTCTTTAGCGGCCAAGGTGGTCATTGGCAAGCCCACAGGACGAGGGGCAGATGTTGCAGTGGTGGCTGGCGTGGACTGATATTGGTCGTAACGGGACTTACGAGAAGGGGTCGTGGGTTGGCCCGGAGGGTGGAGGGCTGTGTTGGTTGCACTGGGAGAGACAACAGGCTGTCGCCTTTGGTCCTTCGCAGATACTGTCTTCTTCCATCGACGGTTGTAGAAGTTGTAGTCGCCCATGTGCTGGGCGCCTCTGATCTCGGCCTTGCGTAGGACTTCGTCGTAAGCGACGTGGTCTTCGTCGATGATGACACGCCAGAATGACTTCATATGGGTACGCGGCTGTCGGTCGAGGGAGACGCTCATTCTCCACATGAGGAAGTAAAGAGGCGGCATCCTCAGCTCTCCACGTTCATGCAATGCCCCGAGATGTGTGAGGATATTGCAGATCTTGTAGAGGACATGGGCAATGCACAGTCCCATATCGGGCAGATGATGCTTGGCCATGATTTGGTTAGGGTGAACCGTGCTGCCGGGGCGGAACCACTTCTTGATGACCCTGGCTTGGTTGAGGTTGCGCTGGTATCTCTTGAATCCTCTCTCGAGATCTTGCTCTTCTGCCAAGGGGTCTCCCTGCTGAGTTAGCTTGTGCCAGGCATCGAGCTCCTGCCGATACTCTCTCTCCACCCTGTCCTCGTCGATAGCCTCGTTGAATTTGACCCATGTTGCCTCCCAATACTTATCACTCTCGTTGATGGGCTCGACCGGGACTCCTCGAAGCATCGCAGGATTGACATACGTCTTGCCGTCATCACTGATGGCGAAGACCTCACTCATCTGGGTGCTTGTGATCTCGAGAAGGGCTGCAGCTTCCTTGTCGTCTTCAGGACTCGGCGCGTTTGCAAATTCAACTGAAGGAATGGACGCGAGCTTTGCAACCCTTCTATTCAGCTTATCTTTCAAGACTGCAATCTCCTCTTTCTTGCTGTCAAGGTCGTCATGAATCCGCTCACACTCAGACTTGGCGCGTTTGATGGCTCTGTCAAAGGCGATTGTGGGCCCATCGTGAGCAATCCTATCGAACTTTAGGTCTTCGATCTGAGCCTTTTTGTAAGCTAAATTAGTCTCAATTTTCTCAGCTTCGTTCTCAGCATTTCGGATGATATCTTCCAATTGTGTGACTGATGCAGCGAGACGAGACTGCTGCAGGGGCGCAACCGCCTTGGAGGGAGAGAGCAAGACCATGTTGACGGTTAAATGTTGGCCCTTGATATGAAAGGCTGATAGTAAAAGAGTGTGGGGTTCTTTGATAATGGTGAATGAGGTCGGTGGTGTTGAGTTTTGCAGCACTGCAGTGCCAACACCTTGAGATTTACTGCAAAAAGGTGAAGGTAGGTGAAGTCTGTGATGGTTCGATGATGTGGATGAAAGGATGATGTGTTGGAGGCAAATCCTGTCAGAGCAACAAGAGATCGCAAACCTCCTCTCCTTTGTAAGTGAAAGGTAAAATCACTTGAGAAAGAACAAAGATAGGTGAGGCTTGTGAACAATGAGTACTAGAAGGAAGATGGAAAGGTGGTTGCGGAGGTTAAGGGAGGTGAAGTTCAAATTTTGGTCGTGTGGAAAACAAAACGAGCGCAGTCTGGTTCCCTGCAAGCAGAAGGTATGTAAAGGAAGAGGAAACAATGGAGTGAGATATTGAAGGTCTTGGGTTGATTTAAATGAGGAAGTAAACAATATGCTTCTTCCATTCAGCTGGGAGTGAATGTACTTGCTGTTTTCTTCATGCAAAGAAGTGGGAAGGCAAGAGCACTTGCGCGCCAAGTCGCACTTTCCTCACAACTTTTACACAGACTAGCAACTGGTCGGGTGCAGAAGAGAGAGAGATAATTCGCAGTAAGATCAAGACCAAAAAACAAGACCAAGACTGAGACTGAGACTGCCGACGCCTTTGCAAAACATGGAGAGGCAAATAAAGCTCTATGTCTATGTGCATTTGGTAGATCTAAACATAGATGTATTGCAAGCAATATCGTCTAGACCATCTTGCTCAATATTGCGACGCTATTGTGTATGTTATAGCTTTTCAATGATTTTGAGCCCCTCTCCCTTCCTTTCCCTGACAATACCATCTTGATATCCAGTCGCAACATGGATTCCCTCGGGACTCCACATCTTACACATCAATGCCCCTCGTCCCTGACCGACGCGAGGGAATGATGCCTCCTGAATCCACCAGCCGTCGTCCGGCCCCGAAGGATTCTTCATCACGGCCTGGTCGGCGTTGACGTGGACAACAAATTTGTATGTCAGGCTGGCTGCTGTCCCGAGGTTCCACCCAAGGCCATTGTGATTCCCTATCATCAAAAGCCCGTTGCGGTCCGACTCGAATGCATGAACAGCGATATGCGAGTTCGGGTCCTTGGCTGTGAGCGGGCCCTTGAGCCGGTAGAGAATGAGCTCCTTCCTCTGTGTTGCGGGCTTGCCCTCATTGTACGCTGTCAAATCGACCTTGTGCATGTCAACAACGGGAAACGTTGTCTCGCCAACATCCGGAAACATGGCCTTGATCTCTTCCACGTCTACCGCCGGCGCATGAGGCCAGTCCCTTGGAGATTTGGTCGCAAGGATATCGGCAAAGCGTTTTTGCGGAGGTTCTTCTTGCGAGTCGATTCGTCCTTCTTCTGGTCGCTTGAAGGTGCATATGCAGGTGAAGCACACATTGCCCAATTCACCTTCTGCATCCTGTGGCAGAAAATTGTCATCGTGCTCTTTTCTGCTGCTCATTGCTTGTGGCTGCCGCGCAGTTACCAGCTTGGAGCAGAAAGTTCGGCCGGTTGAGAGACCAGAGACCTCGTATACCAAAGGCCTGTCTGACCTAGTAGCAGCACAAAAAACACCTTGAATGGTCTAGAACGCGTATTAGTAACCTTACGCGGCAGCGATAACGCCGTGTAATCTCACATGAAGCCCGAAATCTCCTGTTGATCCCGTAGGCTCCTCTTCCTTGATAGCGCGGCTTGCTGCCAGAGCCGCCTGGCAGTAGACATGCCCGCCATAGGCAGGTCGAGGGTCGGCCTTGGATCCGCGGCTTTGTCCACCCACGAGTTCTGAGCCGGGTATCCAGGCTGGATATAGACTCATGTATCGTTTGACTGCGCTACCAGTGGGCGTTGTATGGTTCGGGGACGTGGCTGACGGTGCCAGCGCCAAGACGTCGTGGAAGAGAAGCTTAGGCATAACGAATGGGCAGAGAGAGAGAGATAGGATCACCCAAAAAGGAAACCAAGGAAACAAGGAACACTGAATCGGGCAGTTGCCGAGGATGACGGTAGCTCATGCGAGGGCCCGGAATGTCTTAATGAGATGAGTCTTGCTAGGTAGTCGAGAAATATTAGATCTCGAAGCCTGGGGATTAGCTTAGCTTTACCCAACTAGATCTGCGACGTGCGACGTGGGACGTGGGACGTGGGGGGGAATTGGACCTCGGGACGAGAGCCACTATGTGCTGTAGCAGGGCCGTGGCCGTGCGTGAGGGAGCTCCTCGAGACTTTTCGGGGCAGGGCCGAGGCATTCATGTGAGGGTAAAAGTTCGAACTATCGGTTGTTGCAGCATCTTGCCGAGGTAGGTACCGTTATCGAGCCACCACTTTGTTCTCAGGGAGTAATACTTGGCAGATTGCCGGGAGGCCAGTGACGCCCCGGGGAACACCCATATTTTTTCGGGCTTGATGGAGCATGGACTGGCCGGTTCCCGAGCATCAGGACCGGCCACGTCGGGGCTGCGGTCGGCAGACTGGATTTCATGCCAGCTGGAATATGAGCAGCGATTGCATTGCTACCTGGGTACGGATATATACGGATACAGTACCTATGTTTGCTTAGGGCTGCGGACAGTGGGCCCCTAGCCACTCAGGAGGCCAAAGCCGTTGCTACCCTCAGCCCAGACCCCCTGCCGTAGTTGAACTTCAGCTGAACTCCAGTCGTACTGCCTGCCTGTCACCTTTCACCTACGGCTTGGCGCAACCTCGGTCTCAATGCCTACTTGGTAGTTGGTTTTTGACAACCGATGGAAGCTACGGCCGCTTGGCCCTAGGGGGGACTTGAATAATGGAACAAGCCCGACTCGGGAAAACCGTGGGATTGGCATGCAGCGGATTGCAGAATGTGGCCACTCTACGGATAGGCTTCTGGAATATGAGACTTGTCGTAGGGAAAGTCTCGGTACTGGTATGTATGGTTCAAGCACCATTGAGCGATGGTTGACGCTTGCTACAGTGATCTACATTGAACGCAGCCAAAAATGAAAAAGATGAAATTTAGAAATGGTCATATTGCCCAAGCTGAGAGCCAAGGGACAGGGCACCCTGGTTTCGCTCACCTCTTCTGTGCCCAGTAATTGACAAAAGTCTGCCACCCCAATGTCGCTCATGGCGAAAACACCTAAAGCTGCGCGTGACCCTCCCATTCTAGAGACTTGTAAGCAAACGGAAAGCCGCTATTACCTAGTGCTACCTAAGCAGTAGACCAGCTCGGTGGACGAAACGAGCTACTGCGCATTGCCATCCTGGGCATGTCGCGTTCGCAGTCCCGCCGCGCCATCTGCAGCTCTGCTGGCTGTGAGCGGTCTCGGAAGTATTGTCAATGGGTGGGCAGCAGCGACCACTGCATGACGCACCCCATAGTGATTAACCAAAAGGCATGAACGCGCACACCACCCCAAAGGTAAGACAAGAATCCTGTGGATAGGTGGAGAGGCTGGGCTCGCCGCAGAGAAAGAGGACGAATGGCAAGTGTTTTTGATGTCGCACCAGGTCAATATCTGGCTACTTTCTTCTGGGCACTTGCATCTCGTTTTCCGTGGCTCGAGTTTCTTGGCACCCTAAGGGGGCTGCGGAGGGTACAATAGAATAGTATAGATGCTAACGCTTTGTGGAGGAATTGACAAGACAGGTCGGTACAAGTGTTGTGGACGTCTTAGTCCATGACAAGTTCCCCGGCGGCGGGCTGCAGATCCGTGACGAGAGCGAGCCAACCGTTGAGGGGAAGGGAAGGTGACAGCAACTTGTGGAAGTGAGTGAGGATGCGGGCTTGAATCATTAAGCCAACGAGGATGAATGAAGCCTTCGAGATGGAAACCCGCCGGAATGTCTAGAGATCGCAAATATGTTGGTGAAAATCCAGCAGTGCGGGCGATTCAAGCCACTCCGATTGTGAGGACCTTCGGGCACACCTGCAGAAACACATGGCTTTTCAGCTTGATCGAGGTCCTCTTTCCACTTCCAATAGAGCTTGGATTGTGAATATCAACACGAATCCTCGAGACATGCAATTCGTACATACATTGTTGATATTGCCCATTTGATGTGGAATACAACAGGCTTTTAAGTCACCGCTCAGTAATGCTACGGTATTGATCTGGACAAAAAGACCTGGTCTGGGGTGCAGGATGCCGTGGCTTTAGCTCCCTATCATCCACGAATTGCTATCCGAGTATGAGTGCTTGTACCCGCAGGGGTGAGATGAGATGACTGGCGGTATGATCCAAACTGAGCTCTCAGTATTGTCGCATTGCCAACCAAAAGTGGTACACGTTTACTTGCTTTAGATGGACACGCAGCTTACGCATATCCACGCTTGTCCAAACCTGAAGGCTGAGAAACGCCCCAAATTTCCCGCCCATGTCACCCGCATCTTCCCCCTTCTCAACCCCAGACCGGGGTGGGTTGGTGCATGACCAGGGGTGACCGGCGCATTCCCCGTCATCCTATTCGCTTCACGCCAGCTTTCCCCAGGTTCTTTGCCTTAGTGACCCTTGTCTTCCTCTCTGACACCCACACATCAATCAGTTAACAGAGAGTCATCTCATACTAATCTGACTTGCCTTTGTGTGCCGTAGCATAAATCCCAGGCCCTAAAAAGAAGAGAGGGGTCGAACACGCTGGCCAGGTTGGGTTGAATGTACGCTTACGCCCCGTCGGTTGGCGCTGATCTCCCTTCTCTCCATTCGCTCTCCCCGCTTTCTCTGTCTTCCACCATGATCACTCTGGCGATTAAGAGCAATAAGCAATAAATAGAGGACGGGGTCTCGTGTTCAAACTATTACAGCCAAGAACGACGGCAACCTTTTCGTCTTTCCCGCTCTTCCCGCTCTCTGCCACGCACCCTGCATCAAGAGGACCCCCTCGCTAAGCATCAGGGCCCTGCCTTGTTCAAAGCCGCTCCACTCCCGTCTCGCCTTGGATCTTTGTGTGGCCTTACTCTCTCACCAGACCCCACAAGTCCATCTCACGGTCACTGGTCGTCCACGCCGGCGGTGTACGCCAGCTAGATCGGCGCCGAGCGAATGGTCATGGAATATGAACGGGCCCTGGAACGATTGATATACGCCGATGCAGTCCAGGTGTCCGGGAGAAGTGAACGTGCCGCTTGACCAACTCAATCACGCCACATCAACACGCCGACGGAGATAACAATGGTGGTCGAGGTCGGCTCTTTGGATCGCAGTACTTTGGAACCGTTCAAAATTTGGCGTCTTGAAAGTTCAGCGTGCGAGGATGACGGGGTTATCGACGTTGAGACAGGTTTCTTCCCACCCCTGGCATTGAAGAAGCGTTCTACGAAAGAGATCGACTGTCTCTTGAATACAAGCTGCAGGCCTGTTACGTTATCCTCGAGCAATTACCAGTTGGGGTGTCCTTCGGAAGCACTTACATCTTCATCCGTGGGAAAAGCAGATGCTAACCGGCCACCTGGTTCGCTATTGCACACATCAACAAACCCGTTTGTCATTTTCGCGAACCACGAGCAGGCAACCTTCGTTTTCTTGCGGCAACCGCCGTCACCTAAAGTCGAGAAGCGCCGGAGAGCCAAATCCGATATTGACGGACCACACACAGCCACCTTGAGCTGCAAGAAGCGTCGCTTGAGGCTTCACCTTATAACCAGTCGACTGTCCCAACCGTTCTCTCTGCCCGCAACTCATATCATTAATCGCGAAGCCATTGCTTCGGGCGACAAGCGTTTCGCTAGGCTGGCTGCGGCGGCAACCTTTCCGGATGTCGGCAAGCAGGGCCTGGGCCGGGAGAGCTCAATCATGTTGAGGGCCGCGGTGCTCAACAGGGTCAGAATACGCGTGCGGGACGAGGCGAGGCTACGGGGGGATCTTACCGTCGCCGTGACTGCGGAGAATGCAGCCGTCCTTCATCACGGGCAACAACTGGCCACAGGGGCCAGGTTTATTGCACAACCGTCTGCACTTGCAGAGCAGCGGCAGCAAACACCTGCGGCGAGAGTGGTGTTGATGCGATCAGGAATCTCGCCTAGCACACCTAATGCAACGAACTCTCTTCTGGCATCTTCAAGAACGCCTCAGTCCTCCCGAATACTTCCCAAATCGCCGAGACTGCACCCTACCCGGTCGCCGGTACTAGCTCCTTCCGGCGCGATGCTTGAAGATATGGAGGACGACGGGCTGCTGGCTTTTCCCACAACAGATCACGACTGTTCCTATGCGTGGGCCGAAGACGACGACTTGGAGGATGTGTACTCGGATTTTGGGGCCATATTTGGCGGAGCGGCAAATAATGGAGAGATTGAGGATGATGGTCACTCGTACGAGGAATTTCTCGACGAGCTCGACGGCATATCGTGGGTTGGGGGTAGGTAGACCTAGAGAGAATTGTCGAATAATTCAAAGTTTCCTACAAATTCATTCAATAGAAAGATGACCCCGTCTAACCAGAAGACTTGCCGAATTACCAAACAATCGGTGGGTGGGCGGTCGGCACAGCATTTGCCAGCTGAGCCGATTGCCCTCTGTTAAGATATTAACGTGGTTTTCTGAAAGCACGAATGACGCTAGAAAGTGAACGTGCGGAAGACATGGTAATCAATTGCGGTATCGTGGATAATACTGAGGCTGTCGCTTCGAATCCCTCTTTTGTTACGGTTGGGACAGCCCTCCCTCGGGGAACTATGCTTGTGACAACATATATAACGGTGGCTCACATTAAGTACTGAGAACGGAGTAAGGACGGGCTCGTCAAAGTGGAAGAAACCCAGTTCTTTCTCCAGCAGTTGAGACCTGTCCGTTCCGATGATCGGCCCGGTCGGACATCTTCCCGAAACCCAGGCTAGGCCCCGCCGTGACGTGACGGGAATAACAACCGAACCATTGGGATTGGCGGGGTCACTCGACGCGGGGTGATTCATCCAAGTAGATGGAGCAACATCACCAAACTATCAAGGTCCGACACTTTTTTTTAGACCTCAAACGGTCAGTCAACATATGTTTAAACGCAGCATCATGGCGACGAACCAAGTTTTGGATACCATCATTATTGGGGCTGGCTGGTCCGGTGCCGTTGCCGCACGTGAGCTTGTTCGTAAGGGGCGCAAGGTGTTGGTGCTAGAGGCCAGAGACAGAGTCGGAGGGCGTGCAAACACGTGGGTGAAGGGAGACATCAAAATTGACTTGGGATGCAGCTGGATTCATGGATACAAAGAGGGCAATCCTGCCAGGTATATTGCACAAGATTTTGGTGTTGTAAGTACGAGAAGCTTTTCGGCTGCCTTGAAAACACGGAGCGGATTAACGAGTTGAATCAGGTCGCGCATCTACCTAAAGCTGCCGAAGGTGTGATTTATGGCCCAGACGGTGTGTAGCTGAACTGAACCCTTCATCTTTCAATATTGACCTGTGCACTCACTGATTGCCATTCATCAGGCCGTCTCTCTAGCTCGGAAGCTGACAGCCTGCGTGCATCACTGGGGGCTGCACATGCATCTACCAAGCTCCCGCACCCTACTCCCCCGCCTGATGCTTCACTTGCTTCAGCCCTCTTCGCCGATAACTCCTCGCTGGTTGCATCGAACCAGAAGGACTTGGCCGTCGCACTAGCCCGGTCTCTGGAAATCCCCCTGGGACTCAAGCTCGAGAAGGCATCTTTGAGGTGGGCAGGATGGGAGGCCACGACCGCTTTTGCCGGCTCTGATGCCGCCCCCGAAGGAGGTTATGAGGCTTTGGTCAACAAGGTCATCGAAGATGTCAAGGCGAAAGGAGCAGAGGTGAAATTGAGTACTAAGATTGCTGGCGTGTCACACAGCGAGAACAGAGTTGTCGTGACTGACGCTCAGGGCAACAAATTCACCGCAAAGACGGCCGTTTCCACCATCCCGCTTGGCACCCTCAAAACTCTCCCTGAGAGCACCTTCAACCCTCCGCTCCCCCCTCGCCTGCAACAGGTGATCAAGGGCACTCATGTCGGTGTATTAGAGAAACTTCTGCTTCAATACCCGACAGCCTGGTGGCCCGATGCCGACAAGGCGGGTTCTTACACGTTCTTGCCTACCTCTACGAAGCCTGTCGTCGTCACTGAGTCCTCGACCCCTGCAGAGATTTTTGAGGCATCCACCTTGGTCTGCGCCAACTTCGCCAGCTCGGCCCTCCCTGGCCCCAGCCCGACCCTCCTGACGTATCTTTCAGAAACACCTGCTACCGCCCTTCTACGCTTCGACTCCACGGAAGTCGCAGCAGCTTATCACAAGTTCCTCGTTTCCCGTTTCAAACCTTCCTCTGAGCCTCCGGCACCGGTCGAGACCAGCTTGACGAACTGGCTGACAGACGAGTTCTCGTGCGGTGCTACAACGACCCCATCCATTATCTCAAGTAATGGCGAGCGAAGCCCTCTTGATTTCAAGGAGTTGAGCAGGCCCGTCTGGGACGGCAGACTTGGATTTTCTGGTGAGCACACTGAGATGGAGAATCGCGGAAGCGTCGCTGGTGCAGTCATAAGTGGCTACCGCGAGGCCGAGCGCGTCGAGAGACTCTTGAAGTTTATCGAGGAACATGCCGAGTTGTGATGCTTTCATGACGTGCAAGGTGGTTTCTCATAGACATGCTAGACTTTTGTGGAATGTTACGGGCTTGGAAGGCTATGATATCGAGTTCGCAGAAGATCACATGTGGTCTACATATCGACTTTCCCGTAGCAGGGGCTCTCGCCACCTGAATGTTAACGCATCACCTTTGACGTAACTTGGTCGAAGGAAGATATCTGCGGAACCTGTCGACCAAACTTGTGCTCTGTTTAATCTGTATTCAAACCTTTCACCGCGAGATGGCCTGGAGCTTTGCAGCTCTATCTCTAGCAATTTCGCACATGGCCTATTACAAGATTAGACGAGAGACTCTGGAGCGATATGGTTTCCTTACTTGTACAGCCGCGCGCTCTTCTGAAGCCAAGTCGCCACGTGAAATGCGTTCTCGCATGTTCTCCATAATTTCTGGACGCCCTCTACCGTTGACGAAGACGACATAACGCAGACCCGGGAATTTCGCCTCGTACTCGGCGTTCAGAACAGCCAGTTCGGTTGCATCTCCGCTCTGTAGCTGCGCCTGTTCTGCGGCAGACTGAGCACTCTCTACCTTCTTGGCACCAAGTCGTGGGTGGGAGCCAATAATAGAGTGCAGTTCTGTCTTTTGAGAAGGGTCCGCCGTCAGCGCTTCAAAGATCTTCTGGCAATGAGTGATGAGTTCGTCGTAGGATTGGAACGAAGCTGCTGATATGGAAGGTAGGATAAGTGCATGAATCGCGGGACTCGGTTCAAAGAGGGCATCGAGGACCCTTCTCTGCTCCTCAGCAGACAAGCTGCTCAAGGTGCTGACGTCGGGTAGAGACGCCATTCTCTCAAATGTTAAATTTCACTTTTGTACTCGGTACAAACTATGAGGCGCACTTAAATCCTTCCCAATCAAAATTCCCTCAGATATCGAGCACTTTATTGTCGTTGGATGCTAAAGGTAGGGTGGGGGGTGTTGTAGATGGGCCTCGGCGTGATATTATAGAGCGATAAGGAGAGATAAGATAGCGATACGAGTAAACGCCACACGTGATGAAGCGGCTCGAGCTTTTGAGCTGGAGACCCACCCAGTTGGCAAGCACGCAGCAAGGCTGAAGATTTGTTTTGAAAGGCAAAAGGGTCGACGCGAACGAACCATCCAGCAGCCCATTGAAACCGCGAAATTTTGGGACAATGCTGTGCGCAAGTAGGTTCGAGATGGTTTTGAAGAATTTGAACGGTACTGACAAGGTCTATAGTCTCTGGAGAAGCTCCCCAGGAGCCCGTCGCCTCCAAGAAGTCGGGTAAGTGGCTTGCGATCAGGAGGCAGAGTCGCTAGGCTAACTAACGGTGACCAGGCACCATCTTCGAGAAACGATTGATCGAGAAGTACATTGAGGAAAACGGCACCGAACCTGGAACCGGCGAAGCCCTCACGAATGATGACCTCCTGCCTCTTACTCAGTCGCGCATTGTTCGACCCAGACCCCCGACGCTCACCTCGATCCCGGCCCTGCTTGCGACTTTCCAAAACGAGTGGGATGCCCTCGCCCTTGAGACGTTCAACTTGAAGGAGCAGCTTTCCAGAACACGGGAAGAGCTTGCAACAGCTCTGTACCAGCATGATGCCGCTGTCCGTGTTATTGCGCGACTGTCAAAGGAGCGAGACGAGGCCAGAGACGCACTTTCCAAAATCAGCGTCACTGCTGGAGCTACGAATGGAGATGCAATGGCCATCGACTCGGCCGAGAGCCTTCCCGAGGAGTGGGTTGAAAAAGTCGATGCAAAGCAGCAAGAGTAAGTCAATTCGAAAGTAGCCGTATGCTGGACCAACGCACTAACGCGTTGCAGACTTTCCAAGGGTCGCCCGAAGCGCCCAGTCCCAGGAGGTTGGGCCACCTCTGAAGATATTGCCTCGCTAGCCACCGTGGCTTCGACAGCAGTACCAGTTTCCAACGCCTCCTCTCTCGCGCTCGAAGGAGGCTATGCGGCGGTGGGCGGTCGGGGGGGAGAAGCCGCGATATACTCGCTTGAGGCCAACCAGGTGGAGCGGCAAGTTGCAGTCAACGAGCCGGTAATTGATTCTCTGTGGACGGGTAGTAAGCTGGTTTTCGCTACGAGCAAAGGAACAGTCAAGGTCTTTGAGGGTGGCAGCGAGGTTGCGTCGTTTTCCGAGCACGCGGGACCTGCCACATCCTTGAGCATTCACCCGACTGGTGACCTGCTCGCGTCCGTCGGTTCTGACAAGAGCATCGTGTTCTACGACCTCAATGCCCTGAAGAGGGTTGGCCGCGCTTATGCCGATGCTGGTAAGTTATCAACGCTTCGTGATATCGGCTCTTCAGCTGCTAACTGGCGTAGCCTTGACATCTTCGGCCTTCCACCCCGATGGCCACCTCTTTGCGGCTGGCACAACCACGGGCGACATCAAACTCTTCATGACCACGAGTTTGGAGATCGCACTCGTTTTTAACCTTGGGGCGCCCATTGAGGCTCTGACCTTCTCAGAAAACGGATTCTGGCTTGCGGCAACAGCCAAGGGCCAGAGCTCGGTCGCCATCTTCGACCTGCGCAAGGAGGCCATAGTCAAGACTCTCGAGACCGGCGGACCAGTTCAGTCTCTGGCTTGGGATTACACCGGACAATACCTCGCCACTGCGGGTTCTGGCGGCATCACGGTGCAGCAGTACACCAAGCGCTCCAAGTCATGGACGGAGCCCCTTAGGACTTCGGTTGCGGCGCTGTCGGTTCAGTGGGGTGCTGGTGCCAAGCAGTTGGTTTCCGTCAACGAGGAAGGAGTTGTATCAGTGTTTGGAGTCAAGCAGGAATAAGCCTTCAGGGTCTGGTATTTGTATTATACGTAAAAGGGGCGGAAGTGTCTAACAAAAACGATATCCGATGTCTTGGGCTCAGACTATTGTTTGTACACGGCGTCTCAATTCTGTATTCGCGGAGTGTTGAGACTGTTGGGAATATATCTTGCCGTGACCAGAATAGTGACAGGCTCACCTTGAACCTCGGTGAGGCAAGGTTAGGAGATAACCTGGTGCATCACGACGTTTTGTGTTGCCTTTCTTTTTTGCGACTATGACATAAGCACTGTAGACGGAATGCCTACTTTACACCGTGGGCGCAGCACGGCTGCTTCATTCGGCCGCAAAACTTCCGCGGGTCCTGTAAGTCTAGAGGGGTTTCTGCTTATCGGAGTAATTGCCCCTACACTGTGCGGGCTTATCTAAGGCTGAAGCGCCAAACCATCGGTCCTGTCGTGGCCTGGGCCTGTGCTTGACCCTACCCTCAATCGCGTCCGTCGTAGGAGATCCACTCCTACCTACCCTGTTGATATCTTAATACTGCTCGGGGTTAAGATCTCGGCCCTCCCTGACGAACACAAGACGCTCGAGTGACGGACGGTTTGTTCGTGGAAACCTCGCCCCCTTCTGCCTCGCATCTTTGGTTTGAGCTGACTCTCCTTCTCTCTTTCCAGCGCCAACCCATATTGGCCCCATCCACAGAACATGAGCTCAGCGTCTCCACCATCTTCCCCTTTGATATCGAGTTCCCCATCCATTCAGTCTTCTTACTCAATACCCGTCAGCTCTTCAAACTCACCCACGCCCCCGAATCGAGAGTCCTCCTCGACACCTTCTTCTCCGTCGATAGCGAGTTTTGCGACCCCTCCACTTTCGCATTTAATACGCATCAGCAGCTCTTCAAACGAACCTACATCTCCGTTCCGAACGTCCTCAGCGTCTTCCTCCCCGTCGTCCCCGCTCCCTCAGCTTCTGGACGTCGATTCAAACGCATCTACCCCTTCGATTAATTCAGACATTTGGGGCGAAATCAATAACGAGGTTACCTACTACCCGGTTTACCAAGGTCCCGACTATTCTTCCGACGTCTTTGACCATCGCTCAAGTACATTCGACTCCGAAGCAGACGCTCAACAGGATTGGGACCCCGACTCTGACTCGCAGTCACCATCACATCATTCGGATTCCGATTTGGAGTCGTCCATGTCAGACGATATCGTCGCACACGAACCCTTGTTTGATGACCCGTTTTCCTCCGATCTCGCCGACGAACTTGAGCTTGCGCTTCTCGCCGAGATGGACCAGTTGCCACAATTACGCGAGCAACGACTGCCACGCGCGGAGAATCGTGAGGGGACTATGGCCGAACTACGTCAAGGTGGCACAGCAAATCGCCACAGTCCAGCGGATGTTCTGGTGGATTTGGAGCTGTATTTTCAGCAAGGACAGGGACGTCCTGAAAGAAGATCCCAAAACAACCAAAACGGCTCTGCGGATGTCATTGATCTTACAAACGAACCCGACAGCCCCGTCCAAACTCATGCCGCTCGCCCCGTGGCAAATCCAAGAAGACAGAACTCTCAGGGCAGGAATCCTCCGTCATTCGCTCGCAGCGACAGTAGTATTCTCGCTGGCAACGCACCAGTCATTGACCTCACCGACGACTCCCCCGATGTTCCGCGCAGGCATGCACCTGTATTACCTCCCCCAGGCCCTCGACCTCGTGAGCGTAGCAGACAACCAGGAGGGTTTGGCTTGTACAACTCGACCGCTGCATTTAGTGGAATAGCAGCGAACATACGGCGTCATCTCTATCCGTTTCGGCTTTTTCCTGGTCCTGAGGATGAAGTGCAAATCCTCGGCATTTTGCATAATAGAATTAACCAAGGTGCCGACCTCAATAACCCGCTGGAAAACATTCAGCTTCAGTACGGGCACGGCGCTTTCGACCGAGCCGAGTCACCGAAGCCGATCCACCAACCTCCGCCACCGGCCAAGTCGGGCTTCACTCGAGACACTGGCTCTGACCTCGTTGTTATATGTCCGGCTTGCAACGAGGAGTTGGCTTACGACCCCGATGTTCCCACCAGTGAGAGTCATCCCACGCGCAAAGGTAAGCGCCAGCGTAGCGAGCATCACTTCTGGGCTCTCAAGGGATGTGGGCATGTAGGTTTTGTCTCTCCAGATAAAATTCCGTGTTCAGTGCTTACGCCGAATCAGGTTTACTGCGAGGACTGTTTCGAGAACCGCAAGCCAGCAGCCAAACGTCCTCACACTGGGTTCCGACGCGACCAAGAAAGCAAGATAATTTGCGCGGTTGACGGCTGCGAGACGCAAGCTACGAACAAGACGGGCTGGGTCGGGATCTACCTTTGAGGAGCTACGGAAGGATATTGGCGTCACCCGGATAAGTGTGAAGCATTGGCTTGGCGTTTGGGGGTGGCGAGGTATCGTATGATCAGAGATTCCCACGGTCACGATATAGGATTGCTTTTGATTTACACTGCATGGAACCCTGCGGCAAGGGCCAGCGAGAGCCAGCGGGAGACAGCGAGACATCACCTCTACATGCGTTATTCTCTGTATTGACTCGAGGTGTACATGTCTCGAGGCGCGAGAACAACACATAGTTAGGCTCTGGGCCGCAGAGTTGCTGCCGAGCCCCTTGTATAGAGATTTCTCTTGCTGAATATATTATCAGTTGCTCATATCATAAGTGTTGTGTCCTAGTCCCACCCTTCATGCCCGTGGTGCCCATCCATGGGCCCCACGGCCGTGAAGGGCCGGGCGATATTCTATGAGTCTTCTCGACTCTTAAAGGGTTTCTCCCAACATGCTATAGTGATCTAAAGGGTATAAGTATAAGTGTTACAAATAAGCATTCCCTGATGCCGACGGACTCTAATTGCGTCTCTGTCCGTAGGAGGGGAAAAGCACAGTCCCACGCTCGCAAACGCAACGCAATAACTCCCGCAATGCCGTTTTCCTCTAATGCGTCAAAAGTCATCCAAGTCATCATCCCAGTCAATAGCCGCCAGGTCCATCTCGAGGAAAGGCAATTGGTTTGGAGGCGATTGACCAGAGGACTGCGTCGTGTTCTTGGTCGTGGATTCTATGTCCAACACCTCTTGGGACGACATCATCAAGTCCTGGGTGCATATCAATGGGAAGAAGTCGTCAAAGTGAGTGGGTAGCTGCGGTTTCATTGCTGTGGCCATGGGGTTCGGTGTTGGGCTGTGATTGCCACTGATTTCCTGCAAGACACCGCGCTTTGTTTTTGCCGACCGGTCTTGGAGGCGAGAGGGCTTTGTTGGTGGCGGCATCGTTCTTGTTGCAGCGTTTCTTGAGTGAGTGTTGACTGAATGGGAATCCAAAGCCCTTGAAGAAGTGCTGACTTGTGATTGCTTCTCTTGTTTCTGGGACCTGTGCTCGAGCCCCTGGGGCTCCTCGTGGGCTTTCGTTGATGCTTGTAATCTTGTGGAGCCTCTTAACAGTGCAGAAGGGTTTGGATATATGGCACTAGCACTCAAAGATGCAAGATGACGAGCGGTCGGATTACCACAAGTGCTTTTATCCGGCTTTCGATAGCCGTTGTCTGCAGCTTGGGTTTGTTCCCCAGCTTTCTCCATTGCGCTTGAACGTACTACATGCTCGCCATGAGCCACTTTAGCTGCCACTGGATCATCTGACTGCTGATCTAAAGCCTCCCCAGGCTGTGTATCTGAGTCACTATCTTGCTCAAGCTCCATAGCGAGCTGTGAAGCTGTTGGAAAGAAGTCGTCGAAGCAATCTTGTACAATAGCTTGTGTGCTTGGCGGGGGCGCTTGAGGCTGCGGCCTTGACAGCGGAGGTGTTTGCACCGACAGATTCTGTGAGGTGGGATCCTTTGAAAGAGACTTGAGTAAAGGCGTTGGAACTGTAGACTTTGGCGGTGGTTTCTGTGATGGTACTTGGGGTGGAGGCATTTGCGGCGGCTCTCCCAGCGGTGCTGGGCTGGGTAGAGACAACTTCTGTTGCAGTGACGGCCCCGATAGCGGAGGAATAGGAGTAGACTTGGAAGGAGGATTGTGCTTGAAAACCTTGTGTCCAGGTAGTTGCTGAACTGGTAGGGTTACCCGAGGCATCATGAACGGTTTGGATTTTGACTTCAACGGCAGCCGGAGGGGAGGGCCCATGGACACCGGAACTGCCAAGGTTTTGTCCGGTACATGATTCGAAGAGTCGGCAACTTTGAGTAAGCTAGAAGGTGGCACAGCAGGATCATCTTTGGAACGATGCATGGGTGGTGGAGGAATGTCCCAGGATGGAGGTTGGTTGGGCGGGTTGGGCAAGGATTGTGGAGGCTTGTTGACTGCCCTGGACTTCTGCGACGGGCGAGGCGGTGGTGCCATGGAGATAGCAGGAGGTTTGGGTCGTTCGGGAGTTGTAGGTGGAGGACACGACACAGATGAAGCCGCTCTCGCAGCCGACGGTGCCAGCGAGGTTTTAGGCTTATTCTCAAGTGAACTTGCCGGGGTGTCTTCGTCCTTTGGTACCGGTTCCCCTGATGAGTCTCTCTTCCGGCTTGTGCCATTTCCTCGAACAAATCGAGCGATTGTATCTTGGCTCGGTCGGCAGTCGAACAATGGCTGTCCAGCCCTCTGTCGGCTCTTGCGCGCTTCCTCTTCCTTGGCCTTCTTCCGCTCTCGTGCCGCCCTGGCTTTAGCTGCAGCGCGCTCCTTTTCCAGCTCTTTGCGGATCTCCTCCTGTCTTTCTTTTTCCCATCTCCGCTGTTCGGATTTGGATCGTCGTGGCTCCTTATTCGCTTGCTTGTAGAGCTTCTGGGCCTGCTTCGAGGTCATCGGTGGTTTGCTGGGGGCGCCGCCAACACGGCCGGGGGCGGCTGGGATGACGGCAAAAGTGTTCTGTTGCGGCGCCATGATGACGATACTCCTCTCGGAGACATCTTCAATACCAAAGGCGTCGTCACAGGTTGCCACTAAAGAGAGCGACAGTCAGACGGCACAGGAGATGTCAGCAGTCCAATTGTTGCCAGGCGTGGCGGGACAATCAACACTTACTGAAAGACGACGCGACGCAGATACGAGATCACATGACCCTGAACTCCAGCCACACTCAACCCCTGATGCCGATCACTGAGGTGGAGTACCTGCCACGCGGGGTACCAAACCAGCCACAAATCGCGGGGCCTTAATTTTTTTTTCTCCCTTCCTGCAACACGGCCGTTTTTGAAGGTTGCAGCTAAATTAGGCGGCTCCTTGTTTTTGTACATATTTGCGACGGCAGAACACTGAGATCATGTCGAAACGATCTGCTGACGTTGAAATGGGCGACGCTCCCCTGAAGGGCGGTGATCGCCCGGAGGGTATGGAGATTGACGAGAAGGACCCTGGCATGGGTGAGTTTGAAGACGAATTCGAGGATGAGTTCGAGGAGGATGAGATCATGGAGGCTGGTGTAGACGGACGGCCCGATGCGGAAAGAGAGGCTGAAGAGAAGGAAGGTATGCAAAATTTGACCTTTCCCTCCAGTTGCGCACAAAGCTGACGTGCTTAGCTGCGGTTGACCAGGGCACCTTCATCGTCGGACGAAACAAGCTCGAGGCCGGACAGACACTTGCGCCAGATGTGTCGACATATGAGATGCTGCACAACATAAGCACCCCGTGGCCTTGCTTGTCGTTCGATATACTCCGCGACAATCTTGGTGACAACCGCAAGGTTTACCCTGCCACCATGTACACGGTGGCCGGCACACAGGCAGAGAGCGCCAGGGCTGGCGACAACCAGCTGATGGTCATGAAGTTTAGCGGTCTGAGCCGCACGGAGAAGGGCGAAGAGGAATCTGACGAAGAGGACGACGATGACGAGGATGCCGACCCCATCCTGGAGCACAAGGCCATTCCCTTAAACTCGACCACGAACCGAGTCCGCGCGCACCAGATCCCATCTCAGGACGCCTCCAGACCCCCGACTACCCTTACTGCGACCATGACCGAGTCCTCCAACGTATATATTCACGACATTACCCCCCACCTCTACTCTTTCGACAACCCCGGCACCGTCATTTCCGCCCAGCAAAACAAGCCGGTGTCGACTATCCGCGCCCACAAGGCGGAAGGTTACGCTCTTGACTGGTCCCCACTTGTTCCCGGCGGAAAGCTCTTGACCGGCGACAACGATGGCCTCATCTATCTCACAACGCGTACTGACGGCGGCGGTTTCGTCACCGATACCCGGCCATTCCAGGGCCACACCAGCAGTGTCGAGGAGATCATCTGGAGCCCCTCTGAGCAGTCGGTCTTCTCATCCGCCTCGAGCGACGGCACAATTCGCGTGTGGGACATTCGCAGCAAGAGCAGAAAGCCCGCTTTGTCTATGCAGGTCAGCTCGACCGATGTCAACGTCATGTCATGGTCACATCTCACAACACATCTGCTCGCTTCGGGCGCGGACGACGGCGAGTTTGCTGTCTGGGACCTGCGCCAGTGGAAGCAAAGTTCGACCTCGGCTTCGGACAAGCCCTCCCCTATTGCCAGCTTCAACTACCACAAGGAACAGGTCACGAGCATTGAGTGGCACCCCACAGACGACAGCATCATCGCCGTCGCGGCGGGCGACAGCACCGTCACCCTATGGGACTTGGCGGTCGAGCTCGATGACGAGGAGAGCAAGGATACCGGCGGCGTCAAGGATGTGCCGCCTCAGCTGTTGTTTGTTCACTACCTGTCCAACGTTAAGGAGCTGCATTGGCACCCTCAGATTACTGGCAGCTTGGTGGCCACAGGTGACGAGTTTAGCATCTTCCGTACGATCAGCGTTTAGACAAGGGTCAGTCCAAGGGTTAGTCAAAAGTCAATGGGATACCAAATTTGTTTGCCAATGAATGCCGGATGCTTGTGCATGCTGCTTCTCGAAAAAATACCCGCGGTGCGTCAACTGGCAATACGTGGACATGAAGATTTCTCTGTTCAGCTCACCGGGAGAAACCGATTGGCAGGACGCCGGTGCCGTTGCTTGGTTACACCAAGGGCGGTAGTTGCCTCGTATAGCGGACTTATATAGCCATGTTTGTGCTTTCAGGTCTTACCCGCTGGTCACTCAAACGTCCTTTTACAGGAGTTCCGGCCAGTTTGCTTAACCGGTCAAGAGGACCAAAAGTTGCCCACGGCATCATAGTGGGAACACCCGTGGCATTTCACCGGTGATATCTTAAGGCGGTCGAAATTTTCGCGTAATTATTTGACGATGATGATATCGTCATCAGGACGATTTTGTGTATGACGGTTAGTAAAGGGGCATATCAGAAATGAGCTGAGGAAGGAATAAATATCAGTATTCGCCCCTCTGGTGCACATTCGGACCCCAGAACTCAATTGAGTGCTTTGGACGCTAGGATATACAGTATGCAATTCCTCAAGAGCCTTGTAATTTTCTGCTCTACGGTCCTTGGTGCACCATATGCATTCCCCAACGGCGCCATGAAGTCTAGCCTTGGAGGAGTCTCGCAACGTCCTGCAAAAGAGGTTGCGCGCACTGCGGCAGTCTTCAAGATCGAGAATCTTTACGCTGGAGGCCGACCAAACTCAGAGTGGAACTAGTAAGGACCAAAGCGCAACCACCAACTTGCAACAGCTCTAACACCCGTCCTTTTAGTGTCAGGTTTGATGTCCAGATCACCGGCGGGGCAGCCTTTACCGAGTGTTCTATCGCTACCAACACCGGGCCGAAAGTGCCTACAATTGAGAAGACGGACTGCAGAAACGCTGAAGCTGTCAACAGGGCTATCAAATGGAGTATCGAGCCAATGGGAACTGGTATGATGCACTTCAACGTCTGGTGGGAGTTCACAAGCCACGCTCACCTATATGGTGGTGTGCATATGTACCAGTCATGGTTCAAAGAGTGGACGACACAGGATGGTAGCAAGTTGCAGGAATACGTTGGTCCACGCAACTTTACTCTGGATACTACGATGAGCCCAACTGAGCCAGGGAAGAAGAGAGATATGGAAGTAAAGCACGTGTGAAGGGTTGAAAGCGTCGGGGTCTGGAAGATAGATTTGATAAAATCTGGTTCATACCAAGCAACAACAGTATCGAGAAACAGGGGCTTTGAAGCCAGAACACGGCAAGAGAGCAATAGATTCAGAGGTCCGCCGTAGACCCCCCGTACGAGTGTATCTATGCCTGATCAGTGCCACGTACCAAAAGAACTGTAGGGCCTTTTACTCACAGTCTGGTCAAAACACCCGGCAGGCGTCTGGTATAAATATGCCCCCGTGTTGATGAAAACCTGCTGGCTCTCACAGACAAGCCACGCAGCAAGGTTCGGGCGGTTGATGTCCGGCGTGCTCCATGTGAGAGTATCGCCCTGAAAGGCGAACGTACCGTATGTGTTTTTGCTCGTGCTGAACCACGTCTCAAGCTTCCGCTGCGTCTTGTCCGTCGGGTTCTCGACGTTGAGGTACAGGGAGGATGATCCTGTCAGATGAACCAGTTGACCAGCATCTATCTTGAATTGGCCTGCACTGCTGGGGGCCTCGAGGTAGGCTTTGCTGGGTGTGAGGGTGGGCTTGGCCTGGAGATAGCTGTGGAAGTTGGGCGAGGCGACGGCACGTATCCAGTACCACCCTGAGACGAGAGTTGTGGGCACAGTGCCACCGTCACCTGCTGCTGTGGTGGTTACGGTGGTAAGAGTCGTCGAAGCGCGGGTGGTAGTACGGGTGTCGGTAGGTGTTACGACGGGCGTGGTCGAAGTAGAGACGGGTCCGGCGGAAGTGATCGTAGGGGTGCTGGACCCCGGGATGCACTGATGATAGAATGGGCTTTCATAAAGTTAGCGAATATTTCGAGACCAAGCTGTTTGGGCTTGTAGTACTTGAGGATTGAACAGGTGTAGCCGCTCACGCAAGTCGTGGCGCCACTCCAACCATTACCACCGCCTACGGTCGTGTCAGGTTTCGAAGGGTTTCAAGCCAAGCAAACCGGCACGCATAACTTACATTGTCCCCAGGCCGGAACCGTGCTCTGCGCCAAAACAGAATTGATGTAGAGTGTCGTTGAAAGGCTAGCGGCTAGAATACTCAGTAAACCCATCTTGATTGGGTAGGGGAGGATGTTTTGTTTGGCAACGATTCCTAGATATGTGGAAGACTTAGTAGCCAAACAGACCCGATGCCAAGTTCAGGCATTTATATACTCAACCCTTGCTGATAAGGCGTAGATTTACGTTGCATTGACTCCCGATAGCCCCGTTAGCTGAGTTGGCCAGGCGGAGGTGACCTGTTCCGCTATGGTACTGAAGTTTGGCCCCTGCAATGAGAAGCCTCGGAATTAGCCATTGCACACGGGGTATGAACACGTTCATCTGTCAGGACAGATTGCGTCCCGAGTATATTAATTGAGTATTAGAGGGTGGCGGTCTACCTGGAGGCTACGTCTGGACTTGGTCCCGATCCTAAAAGGGGTGGTGTCAGTTGTGCGGAGCGCGCCCGGATGCCGGCACGAAGTGGGATTTTGCGGAGGCCAAACCTCCGGGCCGGATCTAGCCCCCAATTGAAGTCGGTGACAACACATGCAGCAGATAATGGATCACCTGAATTGAAATAGAATCAGCTCCTCCGAAGTAGCATCAATTAATCGAACAAGACAGCATGGAGAGTGTACGTGTAAGGAAGTTAAAGAGTTGCGCGTTTAAGAGATGGAAGAGGCGAGACAACTCTGCATGTTGACTGCCGAGGCAAGGAGAAGCAAACCGGTCAGACTGGACTTTTGCCCAAAAAGTTCCTCAGAACATCGAGCAAGAACGAGTCAAGTCCGAGGACCACTGCGCCGTGACACAGAAGATGCCAAAGTTCCAGTCTGTCGCCGGCGCCGCCAGGATCTAATGACCCGAGACAATTCCCACCCCCAGTTGCTCCCGCAACGAACGTCAGCGTCAGCAAGACCCAGCCGACGGCATCTTCCATACATGTACTGCCGGAAGGCTGTCGAAACTCAATAGTCCGACTGTTGTCGTGCCCCAG